GCCTGAGCAAGAGGAAAGGACTGGGCTTTGGCGGAGGCTACATAAGCCGGTTACAGCCTGGGAATTTGTTCCCTAAGCCTCGCTGAGCTGGTGGGTCCTCTACACCGATACCAGTTTTGTTTTGTTTGAGACAGAGTCTCGTTATGGAGCCCAGGCCGGCTTCGAACTCATGGCGATCTTCCTGCCTCAGCCTCCTCCCCGAGTCATGGTACTGCACGCATGTGCCATGTGCCTGAGTGGCTGCTGTGTCGGCCAGCAGCGTTCCCCGCCAGCGGAGCTCTGGGGCCTGCCATCAGGGAAGCTGCTTCAGACCCAGCAACTGCTGGGCCCCTAGACGTCCTGAGCCTCTTTGGGACCTTGGGTATGAGGCCCCTCACACTGAGCTGCATCGCCAGTCCTTTGCTATATTTGGATTTTGATACAAGGCCTGGAGAGACCACTACGTTGCTCTTAACCTGGAGATCCTCCTGTCTCAGCCTCTTGGAGCATCGGGATTACCAGAGTGAGCCATCACCCGAGCCTAAAATCTGCTTAACCTGGACATTTCCACCAACCAGCAGAGCAGCGCCTTGCGCGTGACAGGACCTAAGAAATACTAAATGTAGCATTTTCAGCGCAGGGTTGAATGCCCCCTGCTCCACCACATGGAAGCTCTGCCCCATCACATGGAAGCTGCCTCCCGGACCGTGGGTCCACTGCTGACCACCAGGGGGCGCCCGGTTCCCAGAACCGCCCAGAAAGGGACCCAGGTCCTAGCAGGGGCAGAGAGTGGAAAGCTGGGTAGACAGGAACTGGTGAAAAGCTAGCGGCGCGCAGTCCTGGGCAGTGGCAGCGGCGTTCCTTAGAGAGGAGATCCCGGACGCATTTGGGGTGTGCTGGTCCCAGTACTGCAGACTGGCCCCGGGGGCCTTTGCACTGAACTACATCCCAACTGTTTTTTTACTTTGAGTCATGCCGTGTAGCCACATCAAACTGCCTTTCTCTTCCGCTGACCATACTTTCGTGCCAGTTCGCTTTCTGATTACATGTTCAGATCGTCTGGGTGAATTAAAAATAACTTTCCATGGATTTCCAGTGTGGATCCTTGCAGAACTGGAAATCTAGGCGATTTCCCCGTGTTTGCATCTGAGGGACAGAAACTAGGGGAGGCCGCCTTCACATTTTCCCTTCGGAAAAGCATAACTGCCAGAGCTCGAGCAGAACAGTAAGCGAACTTTGAGATCTGATTTCTGGCCCTCACAGAAGAAAAGCATTTAAACAGAGGGAAGGCAGGGGACTTTCTGCTTTGGTCCTGTAACTCCTGGTCTCCTTGGGGCCCGGGTAAGAGCACCTTCAGGTATGAAGGCAGAAATTAGGATAAAGTAGTTAATTAATCAGCTGAAAGAGACAGAGGTCCCTGCAGAGTGTAGGTTAAATATTAAAGAGTGTAGGTTAATTATTAAGGTTTCCTGTAAAGCGCCTGGAGACCTGAGGTCCTTACCTCCCCAGGGATTACTCATTAATGCCACCCCACTTGGTCCCCGGGACCTGGAGACCTAACTTCCTGCCGTCAAGCTACATCGACTGGCTCTAGGCCCTGCGTGAGCAGGCTCCTGGCTGGCAGGGGCAGGGGTGGTGCCTGGCTCTGCTGACCTGAGTTACACCCAGCCCAGCACCCAGCATCTCAGATCAGCGGGGACCCAAGCACTATGCTCTGCACTCTGCATGGGGGCTGCTACCCTGGGTCCATTTCCTCTTCCTGAGAATTTAATAGCCCCCATGACCAGCACCCTCTCTTCCAAGATGGGACAGGACAGTCGTTTTTACAGCTGTCCCTGCCTCTTACAATTCCTCTTCTACCATTTTCTCTTGTCTGTGTTTTATTTTTCCTTAATTCTTATTTTTAGTCTGGCTTGCTGGCACACACCGATAATCCAAGGACTTGGGAGGCTGAGGCAGGAGGATCACCATGAGTTCAAGGCCCACCTGAATCACATAATAAGAACCTGTCTCCAAAAAACCTTTTAAATATTTTTAAGTCCATGTTTGCCATTCTGTCTTTCTTTTTCTCTCTCTTTCTTTTTTTTTTTTTGTACCAGGGATCACACTCACAAACCTGGCACTTGTCAGGTTGGCACTTATGCCACTGAGCTAAATCTCCAGTCCTCCTGCCCTCTGTCTTTAGAAGGGAAACCGAGCGAGCCTGAAGCTCCTGTGTCTGGTTTGGCTCACTGGGTATTCTCTGTCCTCATTTCCACGGGGTCTGAGTGACTCAGGGCCCACATCTCTGCAGGGGACCCAGCGGAGATGGAAAGTCCACAGTGTGGACCCAGGCTCCCTTCGCTGGACCTCAGCCCAGGCTGCCCCCTGCAGCCGGATAGAAACTCAACCTTCTTCATGGTGCTGGGGACTGCACCAGGGCCTCGAGCCTGAGAATCCCCAGGAATACTGCCCCTTGGCATTCGCAGTCACCAGCTCCTAAACCGGGAGGCTGAGGCGGGAAGACTGTTGAGCATTTGAGGCCAGCCAGGGCCACATAGTGAATTCAAGGCCAGCCTGGACTCCATAGTGAAACCCTGTCTCCAAGAAAAAAAAATGTTTTTGTTTTGAGGAATGGTCTCAAGGCAATAAATTGCCTGGGCTGGCCTTGAATTTTCAATCTTCCTGCCTCAGCCTTCCGAGTGGTGGGCATACCCACCAGGCCCGACTCCCAGTCCTAGTTTTTAGCAGATCTGATGGAAACTGGGCCTACCCATGTAGCTGTGCTGAATGCTTCTCAGGTGGAAAGCACAGACCAGCGCTAGCCTTGTCCCCATGGAAGCAGAGCCGCTCAGAGATGTCTGTGGAGGGCAGAGGTCCAGGATAGCCAAAAGAAAGGGAAGCTGGGGCCCTGCTGGGGTGGCACTCGGTCAGCTGGGGCTGACTCTCCAGCTTCCAGAGAAGAAAGAGGTTTGCTATTAAAGGATTTAAACCTAGTTGCACTCAGTAGAGACAATCTCTATCCCCTGGCTCTTTTCCCCCAGCCCTAGAGTCACAGGATGCACACTTAGGACTTTAGATGACATCAAATAACATACTAGACAGGTCCTACCCCTGGATCTGGATAATTAGGAATATACATTTTTTTTTCTTTTTTTGCGGTACTGGGGATTGAACTCACAACCTCGTGCTTGCCAGGCAGGCACTTACACCACTGAGCTAAATCCCCAGCCCTGGAATATACATTTTTTAAAAAGAAAGAAAAGCCAGGTGGGGTGTCCATGCCTGTGATCCCAGGACTGGAGAGGCTGAGGCAGGAGGATTGCTGTGAGTTCAAGGCCAACCTGGACTACATAGGAAGACCCTGCCTCAGACAATAAAATAAAATCAAGAAAATAAGGAGTCATACACACTTTCTTGTCCTCTCCATAATAACAGTAAGTGGACATGGATTTGAGTCTCTGGTTATCTTGTCTTCTGGAGTGTAAAGATTTAGCATCTACCCCTGAAATGATAAGGCAGGGATTTCCATTCTAGGTTAGGGACGTTCTCTCTGCTGTTCTTCCATCTGGTCTGAATCAGGGTGCCAAATCATGCTGAGAGCACAGGATGACTGGAAAAATAGGAACGGAAAGGGAAACCCGGCTGGAGCGGCGATTCCAAGGCAGGAGGGACCTGAAGGAGGCGACTGCTGCTCAGAACAATACAGGTGCCTTCTTGTTCTTTTTTCTTTTTTAGACAGGATCTGGCTATGTGGTCCAAGCTATGTGGCCCAAGATGGTCGTGGTCCTCCTGCCTCAGCCTCCAGAGTGCTGGGATTATCGGTGGGTGCCACCAACAGCCAACACTTTTTTAAAAACTGTCTTTTGAGACAGGGTCTCACTATGCAGTTCAGCCTGGCCCTGAGCTCACTTTGTAACCTTCCCTGGTCTCAAACTCACAACAAGCCTCCTGCCTCAGCCTCCCAAGTGCTGGGATTATAGGCATGTGCCGTCATGCTTAGCTCTTTCTCTACTTTCTCACCTTATTTTTTCAGATGGGGTCTGGCTAATTCCATAAATTGCCCAAGTTGGACTTGAACTTTCATCCTCCTCCCTCAGCCTCTCACAGTGCTGGGAATACTGGCATGCACCACCTCATCGGGCAACTTTTTTTTTAAGAATTAAGAGTTTTTGTCGTTCTGTTTTGGTTTAGTTTTGTTTTTTGAGACACAGTCTCCATATACTTCAGCTGGCCTTGAACTCACTCTGTAGCTCAGGCTGGCCTTGAACTTCTGGAGTTCCTCCTGCCTCAGCCTCCTGAGTGCTGAGATGACAGGCGTGCACCCCCACACCCGGTTTACGGTTCTGTTTTGGATAAACAGTGCCCTCTGCCACAGAATAATGATCAATAATACTCTGCCTCGCTGGCTTCCCAATTTCACCCCAGTGCTATGCCTGGCCCCTCCAGGTGGGGTCACTGCCGCTCCTACAAGCTGAGCTTGGCCAGGCGGTGAAGTCATCACCCAATGATCTCAAAAGGCTGAGCCCAGGGGGTATCTGAGCCCTTGGGAAGCCCCCTTCCCCCAGTACCCCCCCCCCCACTCTCCGTCCTTGCAGATGTGAGGGACCCGGTGAAGCTCGTGAGAGACACAGCGGCCTGGGGATGGAGTCTACCCGTGACCACCCTGTCCTCCTTCCACCGCGGCTGCTGCCCTCTGCTCCCACTCCCACGGCGGCCTCGCACCCCAGGACTCGCACCCCTGCTCCCCCGCCCTGTGCTGCACCCCACACCTGCTGCACCCCAGCCAGGGCTGCATCTTGACTCTGGGCCGCGCCTCGGTTTGTGTTGCACTGCAACACTAGCTGCACCCCCATCGCGGGCCGTGCTCTAACTCCTGACCATGCCCTGATACCTGTTGCACCCCTGTCTCCGCTGCACGCCATCCCGGGCCGCCCTCCCAGTCCTCGAACCGGGCCGCACTTCATTCCGGGTCGGTCCCCCCACCCTGTCCCCTCCGCACCGTCCCCTCCCCCTCCTCGGGCCTGCGTGCTCGCCGGCGCCATGGGCAGCGGCAGCAGCCGGAGCTTCGGGGTGCAGAGGCGGCGGGGGCCCCACTGCCCCGCGGCTCCCGAGCACGGCCCGAGCGCGGCGATTGCGGCGGTGACCGCAGACGCGGCCCCGGCCCCGGAGACAGCGGCGCCCTCCGACGGCCGCGCGGAGGCGCTGCGCCTGCTGGACCTGCTGCTGGCCGAGTCCGCGGCTTGGGGCGCGCAGGGGCCCGCGGGGTCCCCGCCTGAGGTGAGTGGGGCGCCCCCCGCGTGTGCCCGACAAGTCCCCGGGGCCCTGCCCTTTGCCTGGACCCCTCCCTCTCCGCTTCCTTGGGGCATCCGGGGAGGGACCGGACGGCGCGCCTGGGCTTCTCGGGGTCCCCTGCGGCCTGGGGACCCTCTGCTCCTCCCCCCGCCCCTGTCTGGCCGTCGCGGGCGGGTCCTGGGGAGGGGGCGCTAGCCGCGACAGCGGCTCCGCCCCGGAGTGGCGCGTCGCGTCGCGTCCGGAGCTTTGGTGGAACCCCGTGTCACTGCGTTCCGAGGCCGCTTGGCTTCCCTGCCGTCCCGGGGACACTGTGACTACAGCCCCGCTTAGACGAACGGGGCCAGCAGCCTCCATTCACCATCCCCGCCCCAGCCAAGGTGACAGACAGGAGGCTCAAAGTGGGTCTCTCCACGGACCTGCGAGGCGCAGGCACAGAGGGGACGTCATCCTGTAGTTACCTACAAAGGCCCCATGGTGCACGGAACTCCCCCCACCCAAGGTCCTCCGGATTTTATAAAGAAAAGGAAGGAAATAAACCAAATTATAAAGCAGACTGTGTGGTGTGGTGCCCGCCCAAGATCCTAGCACTCTGGAGGCTGAGGCAGGAGGAGCTCCAGGCCAGCCTGGGTTACATAGAGAGGCTCTGTCTCAAAAAAAAAAAAAAAAAGACAATTACATAACAAGATTCCTAGGGGAGTCTCAGCTTCCCTCAGGGAAACTGCGGCCTACGGAGGGGAAGTGGGGGACTCTGGCCTAGCAGGGAAGCAGCTCCCTCTCGAGGTGGCTTTCAAACCCAACAGGGGTGTCCCCCATTGGCTGGGTGCCATGGCAACCGCAGTGACTTGTGACCCTCTGGACACCCGCCAGGTGGGACTCTGGTCCAGGTGCGCTGACAGAGACGGACACAGTGTGGTCAGGGGCTGCGCTGTTGGCCACCACCAGGCCGCCGGCAGGGTCAGGGCTGTGGGGACAGCCCGAGGTGGCCGACGCTGGGGTGGCACGCAGGCAGGGACGGAGGAGTCCCGCAGCAGGGCGTTGTGGTGCTCTGTGGTCGTGGGGGCTGCTCCCCAAAGGAAGGCGCCCACATGGGCACTGCCCGCGCTGGCAGCGCACCCTGGGGACATTTGCAGAACCCTTGGGAACTAGCCCTGTCAACCGCGGCCTAGGAGCAGACACCGCCGGGCGCAGCGCCCTCTGGTGGCCAACTGGGGCTTAGGCGTTCAGAGGTCTGTACCAGCGTCCTCTGGTTGTGTGCCTTCAAGTTCTACGTAAGAGCACTGCGACCAACCGAACGCGTACACCTGGGCGGCGCAGAGAAGAGAAGACTGGGTGGCTGGCACAAGCCGTCATCCCCGCGCTCGGCAGGCTGAGGCAGGAGGGTTGCCAGGCGTTCAAGGCCAGCCAGGGCTGTATAGTGAGACTGTCTCAAAAAAACAAATTAAAAATAAAGGAGAAATACTGTGACCACTCACTCCAAGTTGTTTAGTGTTCTCTGAGACAGGGACAGAAAGTAGCATGAGTTATCTGGGTAGGGAGAGTGGGGAGGGAGTGTCCCACGGGTACTGAGGGTCAGTTTTGCAAGGTCAGGGCTCCTGGGTGTGGATGGGGCAATGATCACACAGCACACAAATGCACTCACGCCACTGGGCCAGACACTTTCTGCATGTACTTCCGGGGACTGAACCCAGGGCCTTCACACGGAGCTACATCCCCAGCCCTGTTTATTTATCTATTTTTTGTCTTTTTGAGACAGAGTCTCTCTATGCAGTTCAGGCTGGACTTGAGCTCACTTTGTAGCCCAAGCTGGTCTCAGAAGGATTCTCCTGCCTCAGCTTCTCGAGTGCTGAGCAATGCACCTCCATCCCAGCCTTTTTAGTTTGTAGTTTGAGTCTAAGTTGCCCAGTCAGCGATCAAAGCTGTGACCCTCCTGCCTCAGCCTCCCAGAGTGCTGGAATGACAGGCATGTGCCACCAGCCTGGCCGCTGACCCTCACACGGTGAGGCCTCTTCCTTTGTCTCTTTCTCCAGGTGTCCCCAGGGCTGCAGGCTGAGGACACCCCAGAGAGCAGCCGAGAGAGCAGCCGAGCCTCCGAGTGAGTACAGGGGTGGTGACCCGGCTCCTGAGGCCTTAGGCCCTCACTGCTGCGGGTATCCAAGGCCCCCAGTAAGGGACAGGTGGTCACCGAAACTCGCCTGGTGAGGTCCCGCGGCTTGTTGCCAGGGCTCAGGAACTAGGATGACCTTGCTCACTGACATCTTCACTTTCTTCCGGAGGTCTCTTTGGAATGTCAGCATCTCAAAAATACCTTCCTAAACCAGGCATAGTAGTTCACAGCTGTAATCCCAGCCCTCCGGAGAGGACCCTCCTGCCTCGGCCTCCTGAGTGTACCACCACACCTGGCGTAAAGCATGCTGTTGTGGACCCTTCCGTTACCCAGCCCTCACCTCTAATGACCTGCCTGGCACTGACCCCCGGGTCTCAACTTGGTCTCTAGCCACCACTGTGTGCATAGAGCTTGACCCAGGCCCCAGGAGTCACAGAGGCCTGGTCCATCCCTTCTTGGCCTGGATGAGGTCATGACCTATGGCCCTAGGCCACCCCCACTCCCTCCAGTCCCATCCTCCACTAATTCCTTCAGAAGCTCTCAGGGAGGCTGAGGCAAGAGGGTCACACATTAGAACCCTGCCTGGGCAATTCAGTGATTTAGTAAGATCCTATTTCAAAATGAAAATGGAGATTTAGCTCAGCAGCATAAGCGCCTGCCTTGCAAGTGTGCGGTCGTGAGTTCGATCCCTGGTACTGATAAAAACGAAAAAAGACAAAAAACAAAACAAAACAAAAAAAAATGAAAAATAAAAATAGGGCTGGGGCTGGGTGTGGTGGTGCACACCTGTCATCCCAGCACTCAGGGGCTAGAAGACTGAGGCGGGAGGATTGCCACAAGTTCAAAAGCTCCATAGTGAGTCAAAAAGAATAATGAAAAAAAGGTAGCTCAGTGTAAGCCTCGTTCGATCCCAATACCAAAAATCCCAAACAAAAATAAAATGCCCTCAGCTGAGCAGCAGGCAGGTGACAAAACCAAGCAGCACCTGCTATCATCACACTTGCTGAGCCTGGGATTTCAAATTTTCTGCAAGCACGATCTTCCAGAGACACCTAAGAAAAGCCCTCCATGTGTGGGGACAGCGTCCCCTCCCAGACGCCACCCCCACCTTTCCTGCGGCCACACAGCGGCCACTCTCACCCTGCCTGTCCCCTCCCTGCACCTCCAGCAGGCCGCGGCCTGGTCCTCATGGGCAGCCCCAGGGAATGGGTTTTGGAGCTGTGAACTTAGTCTCAGCCTGAGTATCCTAAGGAGTCTGTACCCTGACCTTGGGAAGGGCCCAGAAGCTGCACAGGGAGCCAGCAGCTGGGGGCCGGTTTCTGGAGCTTTCCCTGCAGAGCTGGCCTAAGTGTTTGAGCTTCACATTAGAAGCTGGCTGTGGGGGTTCTCAAGGCCCTGTCTACACCCACTGGGGCAGGTCCCAGGATACAAAGGGAATTTCCTGTTTTCCCAGCGGGAACATGAGGCAGAATTTGCCCATGGTTGGAGGGCCAGGACATTCTAAAAATTCTCTTGAACTCACTGTGTGGCCCAAGGCTGGCCTCAAATTCCGAGAGACTCTCCTGCCTCAGCCTCCCAAGTGCTGGGGTAACAGGCATGTACCACACACCTGCTCAGTGTGGGTTTTAGGGTGGAGCCACCACAGATGAGGTGGTATGTAACAGTAATATCTCACCTGGGTCCTTTTCTCATCTGCAGAGCCCTAGGTGAGAACCCTACCCAGGCCTCGAGGCAGTCTTCCATCTCCTACAGCCGCGCGGAAGAGGAGCTGATGGCCAGTATTGAGCAGGAGTATGGCCACTAAGGCTGCTCACAGTGGCTGTCCTGGTCCCCATCTGTCCCTAGCCAGGCATCAGTGGAACAGAGCCACCTCCTGAGGACCCGCTCTGGACTCAAATCCCCCTGAGCAGTCTCGTACACAGCCGCTGAGGGGCCTGGAGACCAGCACTGGTCCTCTGTGTCGTCAGGAGCCAGTGACCCTTTCTTATGTCACCACTGTCCAGGGAGCACAGGCTTCTGAGGCTGGGACTGTGGTCAGGCGCCACCAGCCAGCATGCCCGCCATGGCAGCTTTTGCTGAAACAGGCGCCCTTCAGAGGTGGAGCCCCAGGATGCAGCCCTGGGCCAGGCGTCCCCACTCCTCTGGTCCTCAAGGGTCACCAGCTATCAGGACGCCAGAATTTCCATGGTCAGGGTGAGAGTGGCTTTGATCCCAGCTCCTAGGGCTCCTAAGCCCAAAGCATCCCTTCTGACAGGAGAGGACCACTGCTAACTCAAGTGCTGACTGTAAAAGAAGCTGAAAAAAGAATGCTGAATTTTTATTCTTAAACTGAATGTGGTGATGCACACCTGTGACCCCAATGCTGAGGTGGCTGGGGCAGGAGGATCCCAGAGAGTTTAAAGCTGAGCTGGACTAGATTGCAAGACCCTGGCCCAAAACAACAAATAAATAAAAGAGTTTTCTTACTGCCAGAACTAGGCTTTGAATTGACGCCACACTTTTGTTAAAACAGGACACCTGAGGCCGGCTTCCCACAGGACTCATAGCCCTTCCTGGGATAAAAGAGACCCCTTTCCAGGGTCATCATGCATGATGTTGTCGGGGTGTGTGCTCAGGGGAAGCTGCCAGGGCCTCTATATTGGGCGATGTCCCTTTTTATTTTGTACATTGAGACAAGAAGTCACCACATCATCCAGGCTGGGCTCTTTCTTCTGCGATCCTCCTGGCTCAGCCAGACCTGGCTTTCCAGGTGGCCGAAGGGGCTGCTGAGCACACAGAGGGGCCCTGAGAAAAGCAGCAAAGCAGGGAGGATTTGGTGGTGGTGACACAGTGGTCGCAGGGCGCAGGACTCAAGACCCTGGATGTTCTGAAAGGAACGGAAGTCTGAGATGCTGGACCCACAGAGAGGGCTGAGGGGCCCAAGGTCACCACCTGACCAGCAGGACGAGGGAGATGAAGAGCAGCAGGCTAAGCGTGGGCAGGGGACTCAGCCCTTGCCTGAGGTGCTGATCAAAAAGGTGTCAAGTGGACCACCAGGGAAACTATGTGGTGGGCCACGCTTGTAATCCCAGCACTCAAAAGGCTGAGGCAGAAGGATCATAAGCTCAAGCCCAGTCTGATTACACAGTAAGACCCTGTCACATGGTGGGAAGCATCCTCCAGAGCCCTGGGCCCAGCAGCAAGTCGTCAGAAGCTGAGGGCCCAGCCCTGGGCAGCCAGGTCTGAACGATGCCCCCAACCTCTGGTGACACCCACAGTAATTTTCCCTACAGTGCGAAAGACAAAGCCACATGGGCTCCAGGGAGAGGGACAGAAGGGAAGACGTCTGTGACACGTGTGTCTGCCTTGATGGTCCTGGTATTGTATTTTTCTTTCAAAACAAGGTCTCATTATTTGTAAGCTGGACTGGAACTTGCCATCCTCCTGCCTCAGCCTCCCCGAGTGCTAGACTGTACCGTGCAGCCACAGCCAGCCCAGGATGTAGTGCTTGGCCCTAGGCAGGGATGGAGTGAGGAGGTGGGGAGACCCCTAGGGCCTGCTCCACGCCCCCCACCTGAGAGTTGAACAATTGCAGAGCCACCCTGTGCACCGGTCCCATCCCATTCTCGTCCCCAAAACTTGAAGAGAAGGTGCAGCCCCACTTTTGAAGTAGCAGGGCCTGACGAGCTCTGGGAACCAGGCCGAGTCCAGACCCACTGCCACTGCCAATCTGGGCCAGGGGAAATGAGCAGGACACAGTCCAGTTTGCAAATCAAGAAAATTTTATGATTTGAAAAAAACATTACATTATACATACTCATTTAAATAACAGGCTGTAGTCTGTTACATAGGAGAAAATTATGAAACATTTTAAGTTTTATCACTGAAACTACTTTTTAAAGGCTCAAAGTCAAAAAAGCTCAAGCAAACCCAAGAAGGGTAAAGTGCAGGGACCCGTTGTGCGGCGGGCAGAACAGGCAGAACGGGCGGCAGGGTGGTGTGGGTTTGCGGATCAGAGCCGGTGCCCTGACGGCCATCCCCAGGAGCAAGCGGGTAGCCCCCAGCACACCCCCGACCGAGCAGGAAGCGGGAGCTTGGCTGTGAACGCTATCCACCGTGCACTGCAGAGCATGGAGTCCAGGCCGAGGGCCCCGTCCCAGCAGAGCTCTGGAGCAGGGCAGCAACCAAGTGGCCCACACTTGGCCAGTGTCACATCGACCTCAGGTGAGGGCAGGGGACGGGCAGCAGGGTCACATGTTCTACACACAGGTTCCCCAGAAGCTCCAGGAACACAAGTATCCAACTGTGCACAGCATGAAAATGCATAACTGCACACACACACTCCACACGTGCGCACACGTACACACACACATGAAAAGCAGCTGAAATAAAAGGGCGACTCTGTGGGCATCAAGTCACACACTGAGGATGGCTGGCTGGGTGGAGTGGTGGCAGACTGCAAATGGAAAGGCAGCTCCCGCCCCACCCTCACCAGAATAAAGGCTAAGTCCCCAACACCTTGGCTAAGCACACAGTGCAGTCACAACCCCTCCACCACCACAGCAGTGGGGGTCCCCTTCCTCTGTGGCCTTGGACCAAGCCTCAGTGACAGCACAGCCTGGGCTCGCCTGGGCCAGGGCCTTGGAGGCCACAGCCTCCCTCCTCAGGGCCTCCCTTCAATCTGGAGCCACACAGCCCATAGCAGCCCATGAGCTCCCTGCAGTCCTTGCACCCAGGGAACCAAAGCTTGTGGCCTCGTGCCTGCCCCACCACCTGAGGCCACTTCCCACACGGCTAGCCATCAGGGGAGGCCCAGTCAAGAGATCAGCGGACACACGACCAGCTGATGGGCCGAGTGACACCTTGGGCACAAACTGATCTTCCTTGGCCCGAAGGACACCAGCACCCCACACTTGGGCCCCTCCTGTTCTCTGAGAGGCCCCATAACCTGCGTCTTGTCTCCAGGGGTCCTCAGCTCTAACAGAGTGGCCACGGCTTCTTTCAGGGTGTTCACTAAACACCAAGGAGGCTAAATAGAAACGGGTGATGCAAGCACCAACAATATAAATACTTTTATAAAAAACAGTATAAAATTAGTACCCTGTCTTCTTTCTACAAAACAGAATAGAAAGCTTGTAAAAACCCAGACTTACTCTGTAAACTTTACTGCCAAAATGGTTATGTGAACCCTGGTGATTTATTCTTTTTGTGGCACCGGAGGCTGAACTCCCAGCTTTCTGCTTGCCAGGCAGTCACTTAGGCCCCTGGGCAAGACCCTGGCTGAGCTGGTCACCGAGACGATCAAGTCCCCCGTTTCCTTACACAAAAAGATACTTGTGAAACTGCAAAGGACACGGAACAGGGTCCAGAACAGAAAAGAAATGAGCAATGTGCACGATGCCCACAGCCCCGCAGCCTAGGCGGAGCAGGTGCTCAGGATGAGGTGGGCACAGGCCCCATGGGGCTGCCTGGGCCCTCACTTCGCCTGCCTGCCTCCACTTCTGACTCTGCCTGCCAGCCCAGAAGCTTCTTGGCACTCAGGTGGCGTCGCGCATGCTTGGTCAGATGATCGCTGCGCATGAAGCGCCGCTCGCACACAGGGCAGGCAAACTTCTTCTCCCCGGTGTGCGTGCGTCGGTGCCGTGACAGCTCATCCGAGCGCGCAAATTTCTTCCCGCAGCCATCCCAGCTGCAGCTGAAGGGCTTCTCCCCTGTGGCAAAAAAGCACACATCAGAGAAGTCAGGCGACACCGCTGCTACCAGCCTGACAGGTGACAGGTGCTACCAGCCTCAGAAGCAGTGGTCAGAGCTTTGATGTCAAACTAAGCTAACCTGCAGGTGGCAGGAGGCTGAGGCAGGACTGTGGCAGGTCCTAGGCCAGCCTGGGCTACGTACCAAGTTCAAGGCCATGCTGAACTATTTTTGAACTATTTTTGAGACCCTGTCTCAAAAATACAAACCAAACAAAAACATATCTTTAGGCCAGGTACAGTAGCTCGTATCACTCCAGGACTCTGGAAGGCTGAGGCCGTAAGATCACAACTTAAATCCAAGACACTGCAATTTGGCAAGACTCTATTTCAAAATAAATAAAATAGAACAAGAACTCAGGGATGTCACTCAGTTCAATTCCCAGTTTTACACATATATGTAGTTTTTAAAGAAAAATAAAAAATACATTATTACAGCTTGGAATAGAAGGAATAACTTTTTGTGTGCTATTTCTTTGAAACAGGGTCTTGCTCCGTAGTTCAGGTTAGCCTCAGTCTCATGGTGATCTTCCTGCCTCAGCCTCTCCAGCACTGGGATTACAGGGGTGCACCATGCCCAGCTGTGGGTAAGAATCCTGAAAAGAACAATTGCTTCCCTGTTAGAACACTCTGCACGTTGCAACCACGAAGGTTTCTAAGCCCTGCATCCTCTTTGGTGGACACACAGCTCAGATCCTCAAGGACACCTGTCTGCAAGCTTCGAGCTGCTGAGCACCCAGCAGGTGACAGTGCAGTCATCCCGGGCTTGGAGGTGTTTGAGCACCCAGTCAGCATGGCTCCCCAGCCTCAGGAGACCCCCTGTACCCAAAAGCCTTGCTCTTTGCCCGAAAGTCAGAAAGCCAGCGTGGACCTGGCTCTTGTGGGTTCCTGATTTGTCTTACACATCTGTCCTCATGCAGCGCTGCCCCCAAGGACGGTGACAATGGTGCAAAAGGTCCAAGGCCTTCCACCTCTGCCTGCAGTGAGGTCGCCACTCCGGCCGGACCTGACCCCAGGGCCCACAACAGAACAGGTAGTGGCTGTGAAGTGATAGTGAGGGCTCTGCATCTCTGCTCTCACGCCGGATGCAGACCACAGCAGGGCAGCCATGCATGGATTAGCGCATGGCCACCATCTGTCTCCAGCTGTCGCCCACTCCTTTGGGCTCTCCAGGACTGGCCAAGCCAACGGAGCCTCTCCCTGCAAACCCTAGCCTCCTGAGGACCTGCTGGGTCCGAGGGTCGGCAGAAGTGCACAGTGGCCCATGGGACTGAATTCCATCTGGCAGCGCCTTGGCTCCCTGATGCAATTCTCTCCCCCTCCGACTGCAAATGGAGCTGGGTGAGAACTGAACTGGTTTCCCCAGGAGGCCAACATGGCACCAAGCCCCTAAATAAGATTTAAGATTTAGGCCTTGTCCAGCTCGGTCTGGGAGCAGACTCATGGTGGTATTCCTTCCCAAAGCCTATGCCCTGAGGCTGCTGCACCTACCTGTGTGAGTGCGCAGGTGTCCCTTTAGGTGTGAGCTCTTGAAGTAGGTCTTACGGCAGCCAGGGAAGTCGCATACATAGCTTCTCCGCCGGGAGAAGTCCACCTGCGGGGCGAAGCTTTGGCTGGAGGCAAAGAGCATGGGCATGGGGGCGAGGGGCAGCAGCCTGGTGCTGCCTACAGTGACCACACCAGGTGGGCAAGTGGCAGCTGGGGGCAGGGCTGGTGGGGGCAGTACTAGCATCACGGCTCCCTGTGGTGCAGGCGAGGCCTGGGGCAGGATGGGCTTGCCAGGTCCAGTGGACATCAGTGTAGGAGGCTGGAGGAAAGCTGGCAGCACCCCAGCCTGCCCGGACACAGGGATGGGGACCATCTGGCAGAGGACAGTAGGGCTAGGGACAGAGAAAAGAGGGCCTGGCCTGGGGCTGCTCCTCCATGGCAGGTGGCCACCAGGACTCTTTGGTGAGCAGGCCTGTGGGGCAGTGGGCAACACCAGCTGCTGGTTTCTGTCCGCACAGAGAGGGCTGCCAGGCTCGTGAGAGCAAGGCTGGCAGTAGGTAGCACTGGTGAGTTGGGAACTGTCCTGGAGGCGTGAGTCCAGTGGGGTGTCACCTGGGCCCACGGGCCGCCCCTCCCCGGCCCTGTCCATGGCCAACTGTCCCTGGGGCTGCCCAACAGTGGAGTCGGTGAGGGTGACACTCTCCCCGGTGTGCCTGATCACGCTTGTCTCCACAGCTCGGTGGGGCTCCAGTCCTGGCGATGCCCACTCTACCCTCCGGCCCAGCATTTTGGCTGCCAAGGTGTGGGCTGCCTGGGGAGGGAGCCCTGGTGGTGGCTCCACAAGGTCCGGGCTCTGAGGTGGCGTCATACACTGGAAAACAAGGAAGCATGTGACAGCCAAGTGCTGGGCCACTCAGGGCAAACCACTGTGCTGCTCCCTTTAAAGGTGTATCTACAGAACCAGGCCCGAGCTAGCCACTGCCCCCTATACTGCTCTCAAGACCTCAAGGGGCATCAGTTGTCCACTTCTTGACAAGACTGTGCCCAACAGACCTCTGAGGAACAAGTGAAGCACCACCAGCTCCAGTGCCCCAATCCCTGGCTCCATAGACTTCCAGCCTGCAGCCCAGGTCAGTCACAGCCTAACTGTCACCTCTAGAGCTTCTCTAACACAGAAGCAAGGTCACAGCATGTTACAGACACACAAGGGGGTCTCCTGGAGTCCATGGCGGGGGCAGCATGCTCCTCCTCAGCCCACATTGCCAAGTGCCTTGTGGCCCACACCACCTAGCCTCCTCCAGGCACCTCCACCTCTTACCAGTGTCGAGAAAGCCTGGAAGTCCTTGGGCAGCTCGGGCGCAGCCGCTTCGCCGGAGTCAGAGTCGGAGACAGGGGTGAGTGGCCTCGTCCTCAGCAGCTCGCCCTTCTGGGCTCTCTGTCCCCAGGCACTCATGCACATGAGGGCCTCCACGGCCTCCATGTCCGTCTGTTCCAGGACGCTGCATGCAGACAGTTCGCTGTCATGCTGCTTCCTCTCCAGGATGGACTCGCAGATATCCATGATGTCCACCTAGGGTGAGACCCGCCCAGCAACTCAGTGCATGGGGACAGAGCAGGCAAGGCCACCAGAACAGGGCTGCACAGCACCCCAGGTGCTGCTAGGACAAGTCTTCCGGGGACTGTGCACAGCACTTCCACTTCCAGACTGTACTTGACCCTGCTGAGAGCCCTGCTTGACTCACACCAGAGGCATAAGCCAGAGTGGCAGCGAAGAGTGTCCAGGACGAAGAGTGTCACAGGGCAGGTGAGCACACAATAACACTAACTGCCTGGGGGGTGAGGCACCCCTGAAGATACCTGCGCCCGCAAAGTCATCAGGCCAGAGCAAAGGCCAAATCTGATGTCTGAACCCCAATCAAGTGGCCCAAAGCCTGCTTCCTAGCAAATGCAAAAAAATTAAGGCAATCACTACACTCAAAGCCAGAACAGATAAAGTGTAAAATATCCACCATGGGGGAGGGGCGCACACAGTAATCCCAGCATCCAGGAGGTGGAGGCTGGAGAAACACTGCAAATTGAAGGTCAACCTGAACTACCTGGGGAGTTCAATTCAAGGCCAGCCTTAACTGAAGTGAAACCCTGTCTTAAAATAAACAAAACAAAAAACAATCCACACAAACCAGAAGGACCCCTTCTTGGCATGCTACAACCAGGAACTGGGAGGAAGGAACTAAGCGATTTCTCCTCTTCGGAGAACACACCTAAGATTTGTACACACCAGCTCCTACTAGATTTGCCCGAACACCAAAGCTTTCCATCTTGCAGTCCCCCATACCAAACAAATCAAGAAGCTACCTTAGCCAAGTGTCACCTGCCCGATGTCCGTCCTTTCGCCCGGTCTAGAGACTGCACTGCAGCGGCGCAGGTGGGAAAAACACAGCCTAGCGTCTTGGGGCCTGAAGCTGGAGCCAGAAGGCGCTCTGGGGCCTCCAGCAGCTCTCAAGCCACAAAGAAGTAGACAACCGTTGCAGCTCACAGGCCCGAAGCACTTTCCACGTGCAAAGTTCCCGCCAGCAGCCTCTGCCCCGCCCACAGCCCACCCCGCGTCCAGTTCCAGCGTTGCCTTAACTAGTCCGCCTTTGTTCCGCCCCCTTCCCGTCAGCCACCCTCGGCCCCGCCCTTCGCTGCGTGCCGCGTTCTACTCTTTTAGCTTCCGCTTTGGCTCCGCCCTCAGGCGCACCACCCCGGCCACGCCCTCCTTGCCACGCCCCCGCTATCCACCTAACCCTTCACTGCCTTGGCCCGCCCCTTGCCTGCTGCCTTCCAGCCGGGGACCTCGGCCCCGCCCGCACTCCCGCGTGCAGCTTTCCCGCCAGCCGCGCCCCCTGCCCAACGGCCACCCACCACAGGCCCGGGTGACGTCATGGCTGGAAATAGCCCCGCGCCGAACAGAGTGCGGATTCCAGACAAAGCTGCACTGGCCGCGCGGCACACGCCCCCTATCTACCCGGCCCCGAGCCCGCGCGCACGCCCGGCCCATCACCGGCGGCTCCATTGCGAGGTTCCGCGCTTCGCCGATACACTAACTGGCGTCCTCCCGCCCACGCCCCGCCACTTACCGTGCGCGCATCGCCCGGGCCGGCCGAGGCCGGGGTGTGCATGATGCCGACGTCGGCGAGCAACAAAACAGCTGCGGCCGTGGGTTGGGCGTGAAGCGGCGGCGGCGGCGGCGGCGGCGGGGACCGGAGTTCCCGGCCCGGCGCGCGCCTCCGCCCGCCCGCGCGGTTCTGCCCCGGCGCTGCCCAGTAAGAGTAGGGCGGGGCGCCTCCGAGGGAGCGGCCGGGGGCGGGGCGCACGAACCAAAATACACCGCCCCTCGGAGGCGGGCCCACCTCCGCTGGCCAATCGGCACAGAACCGGTGCGCGGCCGGCCAATCAGCGCCACGGGGGGCCGCGTGATCCGAGCCTGGCCGAAGCGTGATGGAACTGGGTGGGACGCGGCACGTGTTTTGGTCTGGCCGGAGGGCGGGGCGCTGCTCCGGGGAAAGTAGGGGAAAGGTCCCGCCGGTGGCGGCGGGGAAGTCTCGGGTTGGGGACGCCGCCCCGAGTGTTGTGAACCGGCAGCGTGCGGCGCAGGGCTCGTCCCTGCGTTCGTCCGCCTGTTTTAAATGTCAGTGTACCCACACGCGGCTCCTGGAGTGCGTGCTTGGCTGGGAAGAGGACTGATCTCCGGCAGCCGCAGGGACATTTCTGCGAGTCTCACAGGGGACGCCTCCTCTGCAGGCCCCTGGGGCTGGCTGTTCGGCACGGCGTATCTGAACTCGGACCCTTCCCTGCCGAATCACCCCTCTGGGAGGTCCGAAGGCGCCCTGTGTGTCTCGATGAGGTGACAGCTTACTCTGGGTTGCTGGGTTCCCAAGTCCGGCAGTGGGACCCCGTCTGCCTGTGAGCCCGCGTTTGCGGGGCTCGGATGGGGTGAGGCAGAGCAGGGTGCGGAAATGCTTAGGGCAGCAGACAGTGGACCCAGGAGCAGCTGCCGGCCTTTGTCCAGTTGAGGACGCCAAGGCGGGGTGCAGGACTCCTGACACCCCTGTCTTTCACGGCTCTTGACTGGTTGACCAGAGGCTTCAGTCGGCCAAAGAGAGGATATTTGTTGAAAGTAACAGTAGGATGAGTCAGGCGTGCTGGTGCAGACCTGTAATCTCACTGTTCTGAGAGGCTGAGCCAGGAGGGTCCCAACTTTGAAACCTGCGTGGCAACCTGAGCGAGACCCTATCTTGACATGAGAAATTGGAAGGAGGTGTCTCAGAGAACTGCAGAGAACGCTCTGCACCCGCACTTGGCAGTTCTCTTCTGCCTGGCCCCTCTGACTGGTGCCCTGAGTCTCTGCATATCCTGACAGTCGCCACCCAGTATCCCTGGGGTCTCCAGCCCTTTCCATCTGCCTCTGTTCTTGGCATAGTGGCTGCCTCCTTGCTGGGCTTCCCCAGCACCAACCTCTTCCATCAGCTGGAGCGTTGCTGTTGTTTGAATGTCACCCAGATTCCATGTGTTGGAAACTCATCTCCGAAGTGTTCAGTTAGTGACATTCCGAGGCTCCAAGGCAGGCTGTGTTGCAGACTGGCTCTGACTCCATGGGGAGGGACCCCACCCACCCTGTTAGGAGTAAGTGGGTCTTTGTGTTGTGTCCTGCAGGGATTTGTCTTCTCCTCACCCTCCCTGGAGCTCTTGGGGGGAGGGATTTAACCCAGGGTCCCTTGGCCACTTAGCTATAGTCCCTGACATTGAGCTCACTATGTGGTTCAGGCTGGTCTTGTAGTCACAGAGATCTTTCTGCTTCAGCCTGTCCCAAATGCTGGGATTACAGGCATGCAATGTCACACGCACCTTACTATTTATTTTGATAGTGTCTTGCTGAGTTGCCCTTGAAATATTCCTGTCTCAGCCTCTGGAGTAACTAAGATCACAAGCATGAACCACTGTATCTGGTTCTGGCTTGCTTCTCTTGTCTGCTCTTTTCTTTCTTTTTCTAAGCAGCAATCAGATGGCTTTGATCTGCCATGCCTTTCAACCATCATATGTCTGTGTCACCTTAGACCTAACTGCCACAGAGGGCAGGCATGGTGGTGCCCGCCTGTGACCTCAGCACTGGGGAGGCTAAGGATCACGCCCATTCTGAAGTACATAGAAAGACGACGCTGTCTCAAAAAAACTAAATAAAGCCAGGCATAATGGCACATGCCTGTAATCCCAGCACTCAGAAGGCTGAGGCAGGGAGATTGCTGTGTGTTTGAGGCCAGCCTGAACTGCATAAAAATATCCTGTCTCAAAAGGATAAAACAAAACAAAGGACGGGGGATAAACTCAACTGTACAAGTGCCTGCCTGGTAAGGGCAAGTTCCTGAATTTGAGTCCCAGTTCCAAAATAAGTAAATAAATGCCAGCGAGGCAGCTGAGCATGGTGCCTCTGAAATTGTGAACAAGCACACTTCCTCGGTTTGTCTTTTTCCAGTGGGGATGAAAAGCTAACTCTGGATAGTGAGGCTGACACTCCCCAGGGGCAGCTGGCTGGAAGGCATTTGTGGTTTTGCACAAAGATAACAAAGCTGGGCATGGTGGTACACCCTGTGGTCCCAACTCTGTGAGGCTGAGGCAGGAGGACTGCCAGTTCCAGTCCAGCCTGGGGAATTCAATGACTTAGAACCTTTCTCCAAATTTAAACATAAAAGTGGAGGAAGGGCGCGCTGGGATGGTAGGTCAGTGCAAAGGCTCTGGCCTTAAAGAATGAGAAGACACTGGAACTGGTGCCTGGTGCAGCAGGAGGTGAGTAGTGTAGGGGTCGAGCCCTGGGCTCCCCAGTTACCTGGCCATGGTGTTTTGTTCTAACAAGACAGCCAGGGGGCTTGGGTACCTGACAGCAGCCCCACATGAACCTGCTGGTTGGATGGAATCTGCAGGCAGGGAAACCCCCAGACCCGGCTCCCAGAACAGCTGTGCTCACAGCCCCATGGGCTGTGCCTCAGGAACCCAGAGCTGCTGATCTGGACGCATCCTGGGGCTGGCAGGGGCTGGCAGCAAGGACACAGGGTCACACTCCTTCCAGTCACCTGTGCCCCATCCCCCAGTCACAGACCCATGGCTGGTCTTGCATGCTGTGCAGTGCTACAGCCCTTAACTGGAACCCAGCCTGGCACCAACCAGGAACAGAGTGGGTTGGGCCGCTGCCCTCTGCACCCCAGGCTGACGCAGAGGAGGCTGGAGCAAGAGAGCCGCCCTCCTGCCTGTTACTGTTGCTTACCGCTTCCTGTGCTTCTCTCTCTCTTTCCTTCTTTCTTTCTTTCCTGGGAATTGGACCCGGAGTCATTCCCACTGGGCTACATCCCCAGCTGTTGGAGCCTTTGAAGCCGAATACATGTGCAGGGCTGTGTCATGGCCCAGGCCTGGTGGAACTGAACAAAGAGATGCCTCAAAGGACAAGACAGGCCACAGCTGAGGACACCTGGCTTCAACCCCAGTTAACAGGACAGAGATCAGAGATGGCAGCTGCAGGCACCTCACTCCTGTAGTGGAAGTCACCTGGAGACTTCCTCCTGGGATACTTCTTAATTAGCATCGTCTGTTGCTTGGAGGGGTCCTTGAATCCCTCCCAAGGTCCTGCTCAGGTTTCCAGCATTTTACACTCTAACCCCTTCTTTGTTTGAATATAAGTAAATACTGGCCACCTAGAGACATTCCTTGTCCCAGCCCCCAGAGTCTTAAACCCTGCAGAGTTTTGATCCTCCTGGAGCCTTAAAATCACACCACTTGTCTCATTTATTTAAGCCTTCACCGTACCCTCATTTAGGAGATTGGGGATCTAGGTCCCCGATACCCAGCCCTTTTTTTATTTTTTGAGACACTGTCTTGCTAAAGCAGTAAGTTGATCAGGCTGTGCTCAAACTTCCAACCCTCCAACCTGGACTCCCCAGAGTGCTGGGACTACCACACCCGGCTTTATTTTTATTTTGTGCCTTAGTCTGGCTAAAGTGCCAATAAGCCCAGGAGAGTGGCTCTTGCCTCGGCTCAGATTTTTAGTCATGTGCCACCATGCCTGGCTTTTTAACGCAAGATGCTGAGAGAAGCCCAGCACTTGGCCGGGCCAGGGGTCTCCACCCTCAGCCTGGAAAGCCTGCAGCCTGTTGGGCCATCCCGGGTTTTGGCCTGATCAGGTCTCCAGGCCTCTACAGTATGCATGCCTAACACGTTCCCAGAACCCTTGATACCCTGGTCACCTGGGGTCACTATGTAAGGACTTCTGATTTATAGAGGAGATAGCTGGGGTGGTAGCACAAAGCCTGTGGTTCCAGCTCTAGAAAGGCTGAGGCAGGAGGATCACTATGCATTTGAGGCCAGCTTGGGCTACCTAGCTCTCAAAAGAAAAAAAGCCTGGAGAGGCCAGGCTGGCCTTGGAAACAGTACAAACTGCTGCTAGCACTACAGGGCCCACCATCCATGCACCTGCTTTGCCCAGCCAAGTGCCTGCAGCTAGGCACACTGCCAGGGTGGCTTCCCTGGTGACCCAGTGTGGCACTGGCCGGCAGCAGGCCCAGCGCAGCAGGAGGGCCAGGTGTCCAGAGCAGGCCAGGGAGAAACTATACAACATGGCTCTGCCTGGGTCCCTGTGGGCCCTGAGCACACACCTGCCGGCCACCTGCTCCTGCTCCCTGCCTGTGCCAGCCAGGTCTCTGGTCTGGATGCTGGGCCCCAGTTCCAGGGAGCATAGCCTTGAGCCGCTGGCCCCTCTGCCTGGATCTTCTCATACTCCCAGACCAGTCAGTGCCCTCCTGTGTTTTCCCCTGGGGTCATCCAGTACAGCTCACCCCGTTTAGCGTAATCCACATTTCAGTATCTTGTACCTGAGCCTGGGATCACCAACTCCAAGTTCATGGAGATTTTTTTCTTTTTAAAAATCTTTCTGCAGGGCTGGGGATGACCCCAAGACCTTCACATTGAGCTATGTTCCAGCCCCACCTTTTTTTCTTTAGTGTTGAGACAGGACTCGATAAGTTGCCAAGGATGTCCTGGAACTCACAGTGACCCTCCTGCCTCGGCCTTCTGAGTCCTGGGATTGGATGCAGGCATGTACCATCACACCAGCCACTTTTTAACATGCATCTTGTGTGGGCCACTTTTCACTAGGCAAGATGCCGCTGCAGCTGGGTGTTCACCTGGAGCCAGGATGGACACAAACTGGAAGGCTGGGTGCAGTGCAACTCCTGTGTGACCTTACACAGGTAGCTTGACTTCTCCGGGCTGCTTGGGCATCTGTCCAGTGGGGATGAAAATGAGTCCTCCAGAGAGACTAAGGGGATTTCCAGGAAGGCTTTGCTCCTGAGGACTTGGCCAAGGTCCCTGCCACACAATAACAGCCTCCTGAGTATTGAGGGGGGAGGTTTGTGAGGAGAGAAGTGACTGGGACCTAATTCAGTACCCAAAAAATTGGGTCTAGGAGACTGAGGCAGGAGGATCATAAGTACAAGCCCCGTGCTGGGCAGCTTGGCAAGACCCTGTCTCAGGATAAAAAATAAAACAGGGCTAAGTTTGTAGCTCAGTGCAGAGGCCCTGGATTCTGTCTCAGGAACCAAACCAGAGAGCAGGCGGAGTATCTGCGATGCGCCATCACTGTGACCTCTGTTCCTGTGCAGCCTGGCCTGCGGAGCTGACATACAGCAGACTGCAGGCCAAGTGCAAACGCTGTGACATCTTAAGAGACTTGAGCTTGAGCCACTCAAGTAGCTGTGGGAGGGGCAAGTCCACACAGGCTTGGAAGGGGAGATGAGAGATGAGCATGGGAATAAAGACTAGGAGAAAGGGCATTTTGGTGCAGAAGAATTCAGTAACTTTCTTGGTTTTTTTTTTTTTTTTTTTTTTTTTTTGTCTTTTTCCTTTTTACCGGTACCAGGGATCGAACTCATGACTGCTTGCTTGCAAGGCAGGTACTTATGCCGCTGAGCTAAATCCCCAGCCCCACTTTCTTGGTTTTTGAGACAGGGTCTCCCTGTATGGCCCAGGCTGGCCTCCAACTCACAGTAATCCTCCTGCCTCAGCCTCATAAGTGCTGGGATTACAATCATGTGCCACCACATCCTGTTTACCATTATTCTTTACAAGACACAGACTTGTTCAAGGAAAACAGTGAGTGGCTGCGTGTGCTGCATGCCTGTAATTCCGGCGCTCAGGAGGCTGAGGCAGGAGGAGGAATGCCCTGAGTTCAGGGGCAGCCTGCACTACAGAATGGCTTGCAGAAGGCGGATGGGGAGGGAGATCCCGTTGAGCTGAATTGGGGGGTATCTTGTTCTCTTTTTCTCCCCCAGTACTGGGGATTGAACCTGGGGTTTCACACTGAGCTGCACTCCCAGCCTGCTTTGATTTTCATTTTGAGGGAGGGACTGCTAACTCGCTAAATTGCCCGGGCTGTGTCAGAACTTGGGCTCCTCCTGCTTGAGCCTCCCTAGTGCAGGGTCACAGGTGTGCGGCACAGTGTCCAGCAGAGGCCCCTGTTCTTGAAAGCTTTCATCAAATCCTTTCAACCTCCCGGCATAGCTGGGTCTGCTGAAAGTGGCGTCCTCGCCTGTGGCCTGTGGACAGGGCCCAGTCCTTCAGGGCTAAGGGAGAGGACAGCATGCCTGAGGTCGGTTAGAGGCAAGGTGTGATCGGTGGCAGGACAGGGAACATTCCTGTCCTACATGCCCAGACTTGCTGTCCTCCCAGGAGCTGCTGTCCCCAAGTGCCAAGCGTGGCCTCTCCTCCTCTCCTCTTCACACTTGGTCACCTCTGTGCCACTCTCATCCCCTGGCACCCAGTGACAGACCCAGGTGTATCCAGTGTCCCTGGGAGCCAGCTGTCCTCTCTCCATAGGACATTAAGACTGTGCATAGAACTGTGATAAATGCATACTGAGCTGGGCATGGTGGTGCACACCTATAATCCTAGCACTCTGGGAGGCTGAGGCAGGAGAGTTCAAGACCAACCAACAGCTCAGCTGTGTTAACCCTGGGCAGGGAGGTCCTGTGGGCAGGAAATGCTTCCTCCCCATGACCTCCCAGCTGCTCCTACGCTGGCCACTGTGGCCTGCACACAGCATGGTGGGCTTTGTCAGGTCCTCTCAAGGCCACTTGGGCTGGGCCATCGTTCCCCTCAGGGCTCCTGGCCGGTGGCTCCAGGGTCCCCTGCCTGTGCTCCCAGATTTGTCCAATCTCAGCTCTGACCCCCAGCTCTAGGGCTGCCTGTGCTTGGAGCCGGGGCTATCTCCTTGTTATCTCCCCACATCGGGTTTGGGCAGTGGGGAAAAGGCCAGTGGCAGCAGAGCAGCCCAACCAGTCCTGCAGGCAGCAGGACCAGGCCAGGGCTGGGGGAGGGGTGGAGCCCCTCCGTCTCCAAGTGGACCCTCAGAAAGGCAGCCAGGAGCTAGGTGCCTATAATCCCAGCGCTTTTTTTTTTTTTTTTTTTTTTTAGGCTGAGGCAGGAGGACAGGCTACGTTTGAGATCAGCCCAGGCTACACAGCAAGACTTGGTCTCTAAAAGACAGAAAAAGACCTGGAAGGGGAGTGATGTGAATGTGAACAGAAGGTGGACGCAGGCGAGTCGGCCCGTCAGGTACTACTTCCTTTGAGTGTGGCGCACACACCCACACGCCTCTCTGATTCTTAGCCAGGCCTTCCTGGGGGACACTGTCACCCCATTTACAGGTGCCTGTGGGTCCGGGAGATGCAAAGCCCGAGGACTGCCCCAGGCCTTGCTGGAAGATGCAGCTGTGAGGATGTAGGTGGGGGTTTCTTTTTTTGCTGTCCTGGTCCTGGGGGATTGAGCCCAGGGCCTTTGCACAGAGCTGCATCCCTAGCCCTCTCTCATTTTTGATTTTGAGACAGGGTCTTGCTAAATTACTAATTTCCCTAGGCTGAGCTTGAACTTGAAATCCTCCTGCCTCAGCCTCACAAAGTGCTGGGATGCCCGGTGTGCCCCCATGCCCAGCTCATGTCCCAGGAGTGTGTGTGGACTCACACTGTTTCTTGTGGGTACAGCCTGGCATGGGAACTTTAGGGCTGCGTGGTGAAGCATGTATGGCTTTCCTAAGTCTTGCCACTCCGAGATCCCAACAGCAGCGTCACAGAGCCCTGCACAGTCACTCATCAAGGCTGTTACCAGTTGTTTTGTTTTGTTTTATTCAGCAATTTTATTTTTGCAATACTGGAGATTGAACTTGTGCTGGACAAGTGCTTGACCACTTAGCTACATGCCCAGCTCTTTTAGAATTTTATTTGGAGACAGAATCTCTAAATTGTGCAGCTTGGGCTGGAATGGATAACCCTCCTGCCTCAGCCTCCCACAGTGCTGGGATGACAGGTGTGTGCTGCCATTCAAATACTTTGAATTTCCACATCTACATGTTTTGTTGGTGGCATGATGGAAATGTCACACCATGGAGATGGGCACACCTTACAGATCCACAGTCTCCCACTGTGGCCCTGGCACAGAGCTGCTTGGTAAGGAGGTCCCAGTACCCACTGCACGAGACTCAGAGAGCACGACAGATTCAGCTATGCATTCCAGAGTAACCAGCCAGTGGTGGCTTGAGATGACAGTAGCATCCATTTCTCATGATTCTATGTGCTATTCCTGCCTTGGACCCAACCTACCATGGACTGAGCCCTGTGAAGCCATGAGCCAGGTCAAACTGTTCCTTCTTTAAAATGTGGCTGTTGGCCATTGTGTCTCTGGGCAGGAAGTTAACACATGTGTCTTGCAGGGGACCTGGTGGCCTATCCCTGTAAAGATGGTCCTTGGGGACAGGTAAGGATCAGGGCTTCCCCCTGTGTCCCCCTGGGTGTTCATGGCAGCCATCCAGGTGGCCCATGAAGCTGGTACCTGTGGTTTGGGACACTGAGGAAGGGTTGCTGTTTTAGGTGCCTGCAGGCAGTGGTGCAGTTTTGGGACTATGGGTTTCCAAAGCGGCGAGAGCCCCCTCCTGGACAACTGGAGAAACTCAGGAGAGAGCAAGAGAGCCCGCCTGCGAGGTTACCTCCTTCCAGGTTCCCCTTTGGGCTTCCTTTTCACAGTCTTGACCGTGGGATGGGGTAGGGGGGGGGCGGCTTGTCTCCCCCGGCATCCTGGGCTTGGTGGCCTTGAGACCCCAGCATGGGCTGGAGGTTCCAGGAAGTGTGGATCCCAAGGGTGCTGTGTGGGTGCTTTGATGGCCATGTCAACGTGGAAACCTTAGAAACAGGCTTTGCAGAGCTCTGCAGTGGCCACTTGCCCAGCTGAGTCTCAGTCTCTCTTTATTGATTTATTTTATTGGTACCAAGGATCGAGCTCACGACTGTGCACTTGCAAGGCAGGTGCTTATGCCGCTGAGCTAAATCCCCAGCCCCAGATTTTACTTTATTTTTGAGACAAGGTCTTGCCTTTCAATCCAGCCTTGAACTCACAGCAATCATCCTGCCTCAGCCTCCTGAGTAACAGGAGGGTACCTCCTGGGTAACAGCTTGTGCACCATGATGCCTGACTTTTATTTTTTTGAGACAGGGTTTCACTATGCAATTCAGGCTGGCCTTGAGCTCACTTTGTAGCCCAGGCTAGTCTCAAACTCACAACAATCCTCCTGCCTTAGCCTCCCAAGTGCTGGGATGACAGGCCTGCAGCACCATATCGAGCCCTGATTTTGTTTCTCGAGACAGGAGCTCCCACTGTAGTTCAAGCTGCCCTTGAATTTACTGTGTAGCCCTCATTGGCCTCAATTTGAACTAGTGGGGATCCTCTTGCCTCAGCCTCTTGAGTGTCACAATTTTAGGTGTGTGCCACCACACCTGGCTTTAAGTCAAGAAGCCTTTTGAAAATTAGTATTTAAAAAAATTAGTATTTTTTAAATGATAGCTCTACCAAATGTTATCGAAAGTAAAATAGCTACCAAGAGGCACTCTCTCTCTGCCCTTGTCCCTGTCCCCCTCTCTCGTAGCACCATGAAGCAAGCACATGTCTTTCCTTCCCACACAGGGCCCCTCATGGGTTGCTTTCTCTCTTCAGTTGTGATTCCCATGTTCCCGGTTTATCCTCAGCCTAGTAACTTTTAATTGGATGCTGGACATTACGCCAGGACATTGCTGGGAGTCTGGTTTCTGCTGTTTCCTTTTCCATTCCAGGGCATCGTCTTGGCCTCTAGTTAATTTATGAACCCATCAGGTGCTCCCATCGAACCTGTTGTTAGCCCATGGTGTAAAAGGTTTTGGGTCACCCTGACTCCATGGCTGCTGAGATTCTATACCTAAGACATGAAGTGAACATAGAATATCTATTTTTTAATGCTAGGGATTGAGCCTAGGGCCTTGACACTGAACTACATCTTTAGCCACTCTTTTTTATTTGACACAGGCTAAATTGCTAAGTTACCCAGGCCCGGCCCAGCGTGCCTTGAACTTGTGGTGAGCTTCCCAGCTCAGCCTCCCAGGATGCTGGGATTACAGGTATATGGTGCCACCCCTGGCCACATCTTTCCAAAGGACTAAAATTAGAACCATGAATATTGGGAATTGAAAGGGGCAGGAAATGACGTTGGAAGGGGACAGGAATGTTTTGGGATAATGAGTTTTCTGCCGGGCATTGTGGTGCATTCCTGTAATCCCAGTATGTAGGAGGCTGAGGCAGGAAATTCACCATGAGTTCAAGGCCAGTGGGCTACACAGTGAGTTCATGCCTGGCCTGAACTACAGTGAGACCCTGTCTCAAAAAGCCACACACATACAAGAAGGACTCTTCTGGCCTTTGTACATTCTCATCCCTGATTCCTGGAACCCCAAACACACATGCATGATCCGTGCAGTCTACAGGCTGAGCCCCAAACTCACGGACTCCCAGCTCCGGCCCAGCCCCTCCCTCAGCTCCCCCTGCTGCGTGACTGTGACCACCGTGTCCCGGCCTTACCTCTGGCACAGCCCCAGGCACAGAAACACTGGGTGTTTGTGGCTCTGCTCTTCCTGGAAATCAGGGGCTCTTCCCCAGGAGGCCTGGACCCCACTGTCTGTGGTCAGCTAGTTCCAAGGGGCCCCAGGAAGCAAGGGACACACTGGGGAAAGGCGATGCCTGCCACAGCTGTCCCCAGCCCAGCACCCAGCCTGGGCACAGCCAGCCTGGGGTCAGTGTCTCCACCCCTCCCCCTCCAGAAAGCTGTCACTTCAGCCACTACACTGTTGTTACCCTTCCTGGTAGTAGGCTGTGGACGCTCAGGGGCTGGGTCCTCTGCCATCCTTGAGCAGCTGCAGTTTGGACAGGTGACAGCATGGCCCATGGGATTAGGATGCAGCCTGGGCCCCGAGCACGCTGTCAGGGAGGGGAACTGTGTCCCAGGTCCATCTCTAGCTTTCTGATTAGACTTCAGCTTGTCTAGACCTTCCTGCCTCAGCCTCTCGCATGCTGGCAATGCAGGGACCGGCATCAGGTGACTTCTGGGGTCCTCTGAGAGTGGCCTCTGCCCCAGCTAGCCATGGCCCAGCCCCACTCTCCTGTGGCCCTACAGGGGACAGGTTGGGGCCCCATGCCAACCCCAAGTGACTCCTGTGAACCTCGAAAGCCTGGAGTCACTGCAGCCAGCACAGAAGGGGGTAAAAGGTCACTGCCTACTACCTTGGGCCGCTGGCTGCCTGCCACCTGGGCCAGACACTGAGGCCAGCACTGCCTGGCTGCTGGCTCGGGGGACAGCTGTGGGGATAGCCATGGGACCTGCAGTCGGGCTGGGTGGCTGGCGTGGGGACTGGGCTGTGACCTGACTGGATAGAGCCTCCCTAGGAAGAGAGGAGCTCCTGAGGAAGGTGGCCCTCAGTCCTCAGCCCCTGCCTCACCAGCCTGGGCCTGTCTCCAGCTAAAACTGGCTAAGTCCTGGAAAGGCGTGCAGAGTTGGTTTACTACACAGTTCCTTGAAGCTGGGTATGGTGGGATACACTGTAATCCCTGCACTGCAGCTGAGGCAGGAGAATCTCTTTGAGTTCAAGGCCAGCCTGGGCTACATAGTAAAATACTCTCTCAAAAAAAAAAAAAGATAATAATAATAAATAATTTAGTTCTTTTGGATACCTATAAGAAAAACTTAAGATGATGGAAGCAATCTAATATATGTGAAATGAGAAAATGCTAATGTAAGTATATTTCATTTATATATATATATATATATATATATATATATATATATTTTGTCTTTTTCCTTTTTATCAGTACTGGGGATTGAACTCATGACTGCCTGTTTGCAAGGCAGGTGCTTATGCCACTGAGCTAAACCTCCAGCCCCCATATTTTTTTTTTTTTTTTTGAGACAGGTCTTTATGCAGTTCAAGCTGGCCTCAAACTCACAGCAATCCTCCTGAGTGGTGGTATTACAGATGTGTGCCACCATACGCAGGCTGTTGCTAGTATTTTAAGATCTCTATTTTGTCTTGTAATAGATAATAAAATTAAACCGAATAAAGAGAAATGACATTTTATGAAATAGACATATAAAATTTAATCTTTTTGGTTTAAAACACAGCATCCATGATACAATGAATAACAAACAAGACAAAACTCAATTTTGTAAAACAAAATACAAAATATCATGTATGACCCGTGTCCCCTGATAGCTCAGAAAGCCGGTGGCTGATCTGCATACTTCATTAGAGAATTTTAACCTAAAAATGCAACTATGGATGCTACTGAGACAAACGACCTACTCCAGCTGCTCCCTGAAGCTAAGATACCCGTGATCTCATTTCTCTTAGTTTCTATTATAAAATTACATTTAAAGGATTTTGATATATTTGAACATGTGTACAAAACATTGCCCTGGCACAATGATATATTCACAAATATATTAGTCTCAGAATTCACAAATGCTTGCTAGAATTGTAAACCTTACAAATAATCAAACTTCAAAAACCATCTTTCTTTCATTTTGGTTTTCTGAGACAGGATCTTGCTCTGTAGTCCAGACTGGTGAGAGGTTATGATGTAGCCCAGGCTGGCCTTGAACTCGCAGAGATCCTCCTGCCTCAGCTTTCCAAGTGCTGAGATTACAGGCGGGAAACACTTGTTAGACCAGGAAGAGGAGGAAGAGGGAAAGAGGTCCGGCTCAGGTTCACCATCATTTCTGGTGTGTGCTACACTTCTGGGTGCTCTGGGTAACACTTGGTGCCACCAGCACCAGAACAGACCTCTTTGGTCAGTGTGACGCCCCTTTTCACGTGTGCACCTCAGGAGTTTGCGCAGCAGCCTCTGGTGGCTGCAGAGCCCGATCATCCAGCCAGGCCCACTACGCTGGGGGCTGGCCACCTGTGGCTGGGCAGGACCTGGCCCGTGCGAGCGCCCTGGTATATATTAGAAGTCTCTGTCAGCCTCTATGTACACATTTACAGCGGACCTTCATGTCGGTATTGCACTCGTAGGCTCCACCGGTCTACACTGCCCCCGCTCAGCTCATGACAGGGCTGCCAGCCAGGGCCCAGCCTGGTGCCCCATGATGTAAACACTGTATGGGGGACACAGTGGGGGACTGAGCCCGAGATCCTGAGCCCACATGGGCCTCCTGTGCCCTCCATGCAAGGTCCCTGCGAGTGTGGACGGGGCCTGTAGCCTGTACCATGATCCACCGTGCGGCAGCAACCTGGGGGCTGCCAGAGCCGGGTAACAGCACGTGGGCTACTGTCCTCTGCAGAGCTTCTGCCTCAGGGCGGAAGGGTCCCCTCCTCACATCACCTGTGTCTGCAGGGTGGGCGCCCGGCGGTGACATTGGCAATGGCGCAGGACACCGCTCTGAACCCGGCGCTGTGAGCCAGGCCCTAGATCTCTGTGAGCGTGAGCTTGTACGATCCCCCGGCCTCCTCTGTCTGCAGCTGGAAGGTGTCCTCGTTGGAATAATGCTTCACGATGTTGTCATCCATGTTCACCAGGATGCTGGGGAGGGCACGGGTTCCCACGGTGAGACCTGGCTGAGCGGTTCCGTGGCTCCTGCTTGCTCAGACCCATCCACACTGCCCGCCCTGGGCCCAGCCACTACCTCATCTATAAACTCGGGTAAGGGGGACACAGTCACCTGGAATGGTGAGAATGAAAGGAAGGGGAAGAGCCCAGGGTGGTGGCACACACCTGTGACCCCAGCACAGGGAGGCCAAGGCAGGAGGATCCCTGCAAGCCTGAGTGAGTTCAAGGCCAGCCTGAACTGCATAGTGAGACCCTTTGAGCCTCAAAGAATCAAAAAGAAGAAAGCAACATAGGCAATAGTCTTCAGAGGCAGATCAGTTTTAAATACAGTTGAATAAGAAAAAACAGGCAGGGCCTGAAGGCTGCTTCCAGCCCACACCCCAACCCACGCCCCAGTGTGGACCCCGCCCCCCCTTACCCTTTTTTGCATTTCTTGAATATTTTCCCAATCTTCTCTTGGGGAATATCGTACTTGTCTGAGATCTAAGAGAGCAGAAAATAATAATTCTAGAATGATGTTTTGTGGCTTTAAACATCGACCACACACGCCCACATGCACACGTGTGCTTTTCCCATATGCACACAGAGATGAAATCACTCAGGAAACACTGGCAATCGCTCATTTTCTCTGTCTTCTCTCTCCGTGATTAAGGTTTTGCAAGATCTTTAAGGAAAGGTGCCTGAAGACAGGTGTGGTGGCACAGGCCTGTCTTTCTAGCACTCAGCAGGCTGAGGCAGGAGGATCTTTTGCTCCAGCCCAGCCTGGGCCGCATGGTCCTATCCCCCAACCAAGACCCCGAGGGGATGGCAGCACTTACGGCCTCAGTCAGACCCTTCAGGGACGGGGTTTTGAGCATCAGGGCATCGAAGACTTCCTCTGCTTCCTTCCGCACGTACAGCAGCACTGGCCGCGGGGGGCAGGAAGGGAGGGAGGGCGCAGTGAGGCACAGGCTTGGGAGAGCCCAGCTGGCGGGGCCAACTAAAGAGGCTTGAGTGCCCGCATCTGGGATGGGACTGGGACCAGGACCGGCACCGGCATCAGAGCTAGGACCTAGCCGACCCACACTAAGGACCCAGTGCCCTCCCCGATTGCACCGGGGCCTCACCTACCTCTCTTTGGCTCCTCTATCCGAGTCAGCTTGGCAGAAGGTGGGGCAGCGAACTCATCCTCCGCCCCATATGGGCCCCGTTTCAGGGCGGATCTGTGGGCAACAACCCAAGACACAGTCATGCAACCCTGAGGATGTCCAAGCTTGGCTCTGGGCTTGGCTTTTTGTATTTGAGACGGAATCTCACTATGGAGCTCATGCTGGCCTGAACTTTGTGGTGACCCTCCTGCCTCAGCTTCCTCAGTGCTGAGATGACAGGTGTGTACCACCACACTAAGCCCCAGAAAGGACATTGTGAAGTAGAAAACCTAAATGTGGGTGAGGGCCAGAGGACGAGGAGGTGTTGATGGTGACATTCATTCCGGGAAATGGGGCTGGGGGTTACAGTTGATTCTTCGATGGCTCAGGAAAAAAATGAGTTCTTTGGAGCTGGGTGTGGTGGCTGTAATTCTAGCACTTAGGAGGCTGAGGCAGGAGGAATGCCATGAGTTTGAGGCCAGCCTGGTCTACCTATCGAGACCCTGTCTCAATAAAGCAAAACAAAAAACAAAACAAAAACGTGCTTTGTCTTGCACGAATTTGTAATGTGGAGACTGTCTCAGAAAAAAAAGGCCAAAAAACAAAACGGGCTGGGGATTTAGCTTAGCGAAACAATCACTGCTTGGCATGAGTTCAATCCTCAGTACCAAAACACAAAACAAATGCGGCAAGTGTGAGGCCAGCCTGAGTTACACAGTGAGTGCTAGCCCAGGCTGACTACACAGCAAGGCCCTGTCTCAAAAATTAAAGCAAAACAAAACTAGCATAAAACTTACCCTTCCCCCTCCAGTTCTTCTGACGCAATGGAAAGAACCTAAGGCAAAAACATAGATTGCTTTTTATTCACGTATGACTATTATTACTGGTTTTTTGGGTACTGGGAATCGACTCAGGACCTTGCGGTTGCCAGGCTGGTGCTGCGCCACTAAGCAGCACCTCAGCTGGTCCCTGGCCCTGCTTTTCAAGTTGGTGTTCTAAATGTTTCAGACCACAAACACTGCTAAGTGGGAGTGATTCTGGGCTGGGCCACTGCACCCCCACTCACAATGGAGCAGCACTGGGGACTGAACCCAGGACCTTTGCACTGAGCCACACTCCCAGCCCTGTTGTAATTTTAATTTGAAGTCAGGCTCTCACTAACTTGCCCAGCCCAGGCTCTGACTTTAGACTCTCCTGCCTCAGCCTCCTGGGGCCAGGACCTACGTGCACGCCCCGCTGCAGATTGGTGAAATGCACATCGGGGATGAAGAGCACAGGCTGCGTATCTAGGTCCAGGAAGGGCTTGAAGACCGTGATGTCCATGCGCTTGTGTGACGGGAGCAGCGGCACCTTCACGTCGGACACTGAGGAGGAGAAAGAGGCAGCCGCGCGGGGCGGGTGTCACACAGCCGTCTCCTGGTGTGACTGTATGGAGCAAAGTGCCTGGGAGGTGCCACTCCGGCAGGGGAATGAGGCGTTTCTGGTAAAATCCACAGGTGGACAGAAAGACGTCTTTGCATGCATGAGCACGCAGGCACACAGAGCATACAACACAGGGAAGCCGATCTAGTCCCTGCTCCAGGGGCCAAAACTCACTGAAAGAGCTTGGAACCTGGAAGTCTGAGGTGTGATCGGAAAGTCCAATGAATGTGAACAAAGTTTAGACGCGTTAGGATAACAGGGTCGTTACAGAGAATGGCCTGCAATCCTTGGCACAGGGTCCATGGTCTTTGCTGCTTCCCATACTGACTGCTGCCGCCAAGTGCCACTTAGTGGAACACAGCTCAGAAAAACATGACGCTGTGTCCTCATCCACCTCAGTCACCGATCTGGCCCTGCGTGACTCCTGACTCTTCCCAAAGGCACCATGACCATGAAAGGGAGACATTTTGAATCCATTCAGGATGTGGAGGCAGCTGAGACAGCACAGTTAAAGACCCTCAGGAAAGAGGACTCCAGAGCTGCTGCAGGAAGTGGCCAGGATAATGGGCCACGTGTGCTGGAAGCAAGGGGAGGATTTTGTGGGAGATGCGAGGCAGTATCTTGCTGTCACCTGTCACCTTGTATTCCGCTCACACCACATGCGGGCTGCAAGAGCTGCCCCTGTGGGACCCCTCGCATTCTAACCCGTGTCTGAACGCTGACGTCACACCTATCACACAGGTGTTCACACATGGGTGGAACCAGTGTTTAGCTCAGGGACCGAAGAGCCACTGGCCCTGTCACTCTACAAAATGGGTCCTGGGCGCCGCTGCCCTAAGGGACCCTGAGGCCACCTGCAGTCAGGGTTTTCAGGACTATGAAAAGCTCCCCTGGTGAGCTAGCAAATCCGGCATGCAGCGATTGTAGGGAATGACCACCATCTGGAGATGCTACCTGTGCCCTCTCCTAGGCACCACCGGGACTTCTGCAAAGCGGGAGGCTCGGGTGTGAGCAGCTGTGGGCCCCCGGGACGGAGGCCCACGGCGCTCCAGAAAGCTACCCGGCCCCTGCAGACGCTCACGGCCCCCAGCGCGCCACACTTGCCTTTCCTCTTGCTTTGCTTGCGCTCCTCATCCCTGATTTTCCGCTCGGCTCCCTGCGGGCAAAGGGACCAGGATAGGGTTCTGGGATTGCCCCGACCCCAGGAGTGGCTCCCCTCTGGAGAGGACGTTGTCACTGGTGGCATCCCCGGGCTCACCAGTCCTCTCCTTGTGAGTGCTCACCCTCAGTCTACCCTCCTCTCTGTGTACCTGCTCACTGGGACAACGGTGCTGTTCTTTTATTAAATATTTTTACTGGGGATCAAACGGCAGGGCCTTTGCACTGGGTGATGGCTCCAGACCCTTTCTCTTTTTCCAGTTTCTGAGGCAGCCTCTCACCACATTGCCCAGGTTGGGCCTGAACTTGTGCTCCTCCTGTTGCCTCAGCCTCCCAGAGTGCTGAGCTTATAGGTGTGCGCAGCCCAGAAGCTTTGCATAAGTTCCGTGGGCCGATCCTCTGCAGCGGACACCCCTGCTGCCCAGGTCACTGGGCTCTGTGTGTGGCTGCTCCCCCCACAGGAAAGTGGAGAAAGAGCATCGCTGCCCTGGGGTCCAGGGTGGGACACAGCCCCTCCCACCGCCTCACCAGTCACGATAATAAATCTAACGATATCATCATCACCTCCAACCCACCACAGACTGGGACAGGGTGGGGCAGGGGAGCAGGGCCTCCAGCAGCCCACGTGCGCACCTTGTCGCAGAAGACCTTGATCTGGCAGAAGGCGCGGTGCACCGGCTTGTTGCTGCGGTTGTTGTAGCTGTAGGTGTCGATCTGGATGTTCAGGGGCAGCCCCTTGACACCCTTCTGCGAGGAGAAGTCAGTGCTCAGGCAGTTCACGGAGATGAAGACCTGCGTGGGGAATGGGAGCGACAGGAGGCTGAGGCAGGAGGATCGCAGGGAGGCTACGGCAGACCCTGTCTCAAGAACATGACGATGGGGAGGCGCAGGGGACACCCGCAAGTTCTGCTTCATTCCCTTCCAGGGTCTCTGGGCATCAGGTGGGATGGGTGGCACAGTGCTGCTGCTGTTACCACCCACATCGCCACACTGGCCCTCGGCACAGACCCAAGCTCTCCACATCCCGCCCACAGGAAGACAGAAGCAGTGGCCCCTGCTCCAGGCTGGATTTGAGTTAGCAACCGGGAAACATGGTTCTGTCCCTCCCTGAGGGAGGCACCAGGATCTAGTGGAAGTGGCCCACAGTGCCAGGGTCCCCATCCGACCCTGATGTGGACTCCAGTTGGCTCACAGTCATTACACACAGCTCGTAGAGACTGAGGCAGGAGGATCGAAAGTTGGAGCCCAGCCTGGGCAACTGAGGAACTCAGTGAGACCCCCATGGCAAGGTAAAAAATATACTGACTTTATTCGAATTTGGTATGCTTGATAGTATCAAGTCTAAGAGCAGAGGCAACTACTCTGAAGATGACAAGATGTAATAAGATACCCATTCCGGTTTGATTATTAACTGCTTTTGAAGTCCTACAATGTCTCCAATGTTGTGGTTTTTTTTTTGGTCTTTTTCGTTTTTATCGGTAACAGGGGTCAAACTCATGACTGCCTGCTTGCAAGGCAGGCACTTATGCCACTGAGCTAAATCCCCAGCCCCCAATGTTGTGTTTTTATTAAAATTGCTATGTAATGCTATGTTCAATTATATTATGTCTGATGATGTAGACAATCCTATTGAAACTAACAAGAGACAGCATAGTAACTACTGTAGATCACCTAATATTGTGGTCCTATGTCTTTTTCATTTCATGTTTTTTCTAGGAATTTGTTTTATTGTCTTGTTTTGATCTGTTTTTCCCTATAATACAGGAAGGATTGATATACATGTAGAGACTCACACGTGTAGAATTTCTAAACTGTTTACGGGAACAGATGTAATGAACAGATACTCTGAAGAAGAGACACTAAGAAACCCAGTGCTAATTCTGTAGCATTATGATATAAAATCTAGCAATACTATTATTCACTGTTCAGAGTGACATTACTCTAGTCCCTTATGTTCAATTTGAGCATATGTAAAGATAAGGTCAGCTACTTTGAAGAGAATGAGAGACATTATGGCAGCCATTGTTGACTTCCCCAATGTCAGGTCTTGAAGACCTAAAAATCCTTCATCACCCTGTTATGATCAGATTAGTTCTATAATGTTGAGTATGTATTCACTATGTGTGAAGATGGGGACAACTATTTGGAAGAAAACTAGATACAATATGATAGTGAAGATCTCCAGTGGTCTTGCTTTGAAATCTGTTTCTTAAAATTGTTTCCTTATGATCTGTTTTGTTCTGTTTTGTTAAATCTTACCCTCTTTAAAATAAAAAATAAAGATAAAAAATAAAAAGGGCAGGCACTTAGTTCAGCTCGAAGTCCCTGGATTCCAGCCCCAGGCCCCAAACCGCAAATGAAACACAGGCCTGAAGCTGCCAGGTGGTTTCTCAAGCCTGCTGTCTGTCACAGCCCCCGACCCACAGGACAGCTTCCGAAGACCAGGCTTGGCTGGCACACGCTGCTGTCCAGACACTGGGCTGCTGCACGGTAAGGCCAAGGAACTTGAGCAGCCCATGCAGCTCGCCAGTTGTGACTCAGAACCTCAGCTCTGCCACACCACTGGTCCCCGTTTGGACATGGGCGCCCTCTTGTGGCCAGAACTGGAACCATACATAAAAGGAAGAGCACTTTCAGAAGTGGCAGGAACTCAGAGCCTCGCCACCCACAGCACCAGGTGTCCGCCGGACACCAGACAGGGCAAACAGGAGGAGAAAATAACTGGGAAAGATAAACCCTAAAACCATGACGACAGCACTCCAGACACTTTCTCTGTGTACTGGCCCTAGCACAAAAGACCACACTGTCCCGGAGTGAGTGAGGCTGAGCTGTTGTCCTGGCAATCCCAGCCCTAGGAGGCTGAGGCAGGGAGGCTGCTGGGAGTTCAAGGCCAGCCTGGGCTACATGGTGAGTTGAAGGCCAGGGTATGGCCCAGTGTGCAGTGTCCAGTACCACACAGACTTCAGACATCCTTACATGCATTTTATACATCTCACCACCAGGACTTTTTAAGTAAGAAAAATTTTTTTAGAGGCACAGCCCTATCAAAAAATGATTTTTTTCCCTTTTGAGACAGGGTTCATGTGTAGTCCACGCTGGCCTTGAATTCACTAGGTGGCCCACAATGCCCCTAGACTCACAGCAATCTTCCTGTCTCAGCCTCCTGAATACTGAGATTACAGGTCTACGCCAGCACGCATAGCTGCTTCCCAACCAAACTCCAGCCACTCTCGAGTCTACTGATGACAGGACAGAATGCATGCCAGCGTCGCTTACAGAGGAAGGCGAAGAGGCAGAAAGTGGCCATCGCAGTGAGTGTGCGCATGTGTACGCCACACTCGGAAGCCCACTGTGGAGCTGCACACACACAGCTGCCTTCTTCAGCGACATGAGGACCTCTCCAGTGGGACTTCAGCCAAGTGTGGCAACTCAAGCTGGTAACTGCACCACTGAGGAGGCTGAGGCAGGAGGGTCCCTGTGAATTCAAGGCCACCCTGGGCTAGAGAGCGAGACCCCTTCTCAAAAAGGCAACAACTCAAACAAAACACAACGGGATTTTAAAAGATGACCTGTTCCGTGCTTTTGCATTTCTTGCTCCTTACTTGGAAGGGAAGTGGGCCACTAATCCTTGAAGATGCGCCTCTGATGTTCCCACCCACAGTTATCAGAAAGGGAAAAAACGCTAACCACAAAATAAACCGCTGAACAGGCTGAAGATGTCCTGCCAGATTCTTTTAAAAACGTCCAGCCCATTTTCTGGGGACAGTTCCTCATTCTTGGTTAAGAATTCATGCATTCAGAATCTTTCTGAGCATTTAATTTTGCAAGCCTTGGATTGAAAAGGAGAGGGAAACAAAATAGATGTATCCTGCCAAAGGAATGGCTTGTCCACGGGTGTTTTTTTTTTTTTTTTTCTTGGCAGCAGCAGGGATTGAACCCAGGGTCTTCACGCTGAGCTACATCCCTAGCCCTTTTTTATTGAGGCAGGGTCTCAGGCAGGCTGGGCTCAACTTTTTGACCCTCCTGCCTCAGCTTCCTAGGAATCTGGGATGACAAACAGGAGCCATGTCTTCACAGCTTAGATTATTTTAGTCCAAGCACAGAAGGTGAGAGGCAGCAGACCCGGAACTGACAGGTAAGCAGTTCTAGGAAGTGTTTCGGTACCCGCACGAAGCTGTTAACAGCTTGCTGCTTCTCCCAAGTTGGTCCCCAGGGTGATGATGACAAAGGCACACACAAGGAACAGGATGGCTGAGATGGAGGCAGCCAGCCTCAGGTCAGTTCCCAGCAGGGAACAATGGAAGCAACTGGAAATCACTACGTAGTCCAGGATGGCTCTGAACTCACTTTGGAGCCCAGGCTGGCTTCCCATTCCTGGGGATCCTGCTGCCTCAGCCTCCTGAGAGCTGTGATTGTGAGCCACCACTCATGAAGCTATCTAAGGAAGTTTTTACATGATGATTAAACACAGGTCAGGCTTTGCTCTGCAGCTTCCTGCTACGTCCACAGACAGGCTTCTCTCTGTACTGCTCCCAGCCTCCGGATTGATATCAGTGTCCTGTCCTGCCCTACCTAGTGGTCCCTCTCATCCCGCTGCCTCTTCCCCACCTAAATTCCCAAGGGCCACTTTGTGGGGGAAAGAGGAAGAAGAGAAAAGAGATCCTGTAGCTCAATAAAGCTTTTGGGGCCAGGTGTGATGGCGCAGGTCTGTAATCCTAGCACTTGAGAGGCTGAGGCAGGAGGATCACCAAGACCTTTGAGGTCTGCCTGAGCTACAAAGAGAGTTCAAGCCCAGCCTGGCTCACACAGCCAGACCCAGTCTCACAAATCCAAGAGAAAAAAGCCTGGGGTTCCTGCAGCTTGAAGCACTGTCCAGAATCCTGAAAGCATGTTTCTAGCCCCACTGGCGAGCAGTGTGAGGGAAGAGGACTGGCTTTGTGTCTGAGTCACTGGGCCAACCCCTGCCTCAGCACTGCACCGGGGACAGTGAGCCACTGCACATATGTGCAAATGACAGTGCCTGAATGAACGAAGCCAGGTCAAGGAGGACAACTGTGACCTCGCCTCGCCAGCCCAGCCCCGCTCAGTCTGGCCACCACGCACTGGTTGCTCTGAAGGGAAATCGGGTCAGGCTGGTCTCGGGCTTCTAAGAAGTGCAGTGCCTGGCTGCGACGGACCAGTAGCTCTCCCTGTGTGGTGACACTTGGTTCCCAAACCCAGGGGCAGCTGGCTGCCCGAGTGACAAAGGAGGACAACAGCAGGGGCTTGGTTAATGCTGAGAGACGGGTAACCTGGAAGAGGCCCTGGTCCCCACAGTCACTGTGCCCAGTCCCTGCTGAAGGTCACACTGGGGCTGAAGCACAAAGATGGGGTGAGACGCATGTGAGAGGGGGACAGTGACCTGCAGGACCTGGAGGCTCCTGGGAAAAGCCGGTGATGCAGAGACTCAGGCAGAGGGGACGACCCAGGTGACGGTCACTCCGATTCAGGCGTGACATTAAAGGACCTCATACTGCAAACTGAACTGTCAAATCTGGTTTGCCCCAAATAAGTGACATGACTTATGGTGACCTTGGGGCTCTGTGGGGTGTGGCTGTGGCCAGCTTGACAGTCCCTGGGGCCACTGGGGCTCTTCCTTGCTACAATTCACCCACTCAGCATAAAACTCAGCTTAACAGGTGTGGTGATGCATGCCTGATATCCCAGCATTAGGGAGGCTGAGGCAGGAGGATCACTGCAAGTTTGAAACCAGCCAGGGGTACCAAGGGAGATCAAGGCCAGCCTGAACTGCATTCAAGACCCTGTTTCAAAAAGAACAAACAAAACAACTCGGCTTAGTCAAACACAGGTGAGCACCCCCAACAGCCTCCCCAGTACAGCACAGATCACTAAATCAAAAGCAGAAAGTCCTGAACAAACTTCCACAATGGTCCAGAAGATGGGTCTGGACAGCTCTAAGAAGTTTCACAGAGGTGTGGTGGTGCTCAATAGCCCTCCCAGAGCTCAGGAGGCTGAGGCAGGAGGATCATTGTGTGTGTTCGAGGCCAGCCTGTGCTACAAAGTGAGTAAGAAAAAGAAAGAGAAGAGAAGTAGTAGGAATTTGACAACCATAAGAAATTAAAATGTGACATAGGTTTTTCTTAAGTCCAATGAAACTAATTAAAGATGTCAAAAAATTTTTTTTGAGATAGAGTCTCTCTATGTAGCGCAGGCTGGCCTCAGACTCACCCCCAGCTTCCTGCCCCAGCTTCCTGAGTACTGGGGTGACTGGCGGGTACCACCACGCTTGGCTTCTAACACAATCGCATGCAGTTATAATTGCAGGCTGAGGCCTGTGGGGCTAGAAGGGTTTCGGCTGAGAAGTGAACACCTGCTTCTTAGCTGGATCTAAGTAGCAGACAGGGTGACAACCTGCGCCCCTTATGCCCTGCTGGAGCCAGCCCTGGGGCTGCCACCCCCAGCCCGCTGCGCAGGTTCACTGCACTGAGAAGCCCATGGCGGAGCTGGGACTGAGCTGGTGACCTGAGCCAGCCTAGTGCTACCTGCTCCTGGCTCCTTCACAAAGGAGGTGACCGAAGTACCCACAGCCGGCAGCTACTGTGAGAGACCCAAGGTCACTGGTGTGCAATGAGCATTCGTGCGACTCCTCAAGTGACCACTGAAAAGAGAAGATGCCGGGCGTGGTGGCGCACACCTCTCACGTCAGCACTCAGGAGGCTGAGGCAGGAGGATCACCATGAGCTCAGGGCCACCTTGAGCTGCATAGTGAAACTCTGCCTCCAAACACCAAGCAAAGCACAGAAGGAACAGGCAGCAGGGTGGAGGAAGGGCTCTTCCCACGCTGGTGGGCGCGGCCCACAGGAAACAGGGCTGTCAGCAGCTGGCCAAGCCTCAGCACCGCCCACGCACGCTCTGGGTTTCTGCAGGGTGCGGCTGCCAGGGAAAAAGTCACACAGATAAAAGACAGGTGGAGGCGGAGACCCTGGCAGGACCTGGGCACCTCTGCCCAGCCCTGCCCTGCTGCATCCCACCTGCGTGGGCAGTGACCCTGAGGACACTTGGCAGATGGCGATGTGGCACCTGTGTCCCGAATAAGCAGGATGTGCCCTGGCGTCTGTGAAGCTAGACCTACACGACCCTGGCACATGCTCTCCTCCCTGGACAGGATCCCAGTTGAGCCGGCTGAGCCCCAGCGCAGGGTCTCAGTGTAGGATCACTCTGGGGGCACAGGTGACAGCTGCCACTGTCATACAACCCCAGTGTCTTCAAACAGTGCTGGGGAAGCCGGGTGTGGTAACTGCACTCAGGAGGCTGAAGCAGGAGGGTCTCTGCAAGTTCAAAGCCAGCCTGGGTTTCACAGCAAGACCTTGTCTCAAAGCAAAACTGTAACAGAAGGAAAGGAGCCCTGCCTTGGGGGCTTCCAGCACACTGACCGGCAGGACAGGGCAGGGCATTTACTTGGGCCGGGTGACAAAGGGTGCTCCCCCAGAGGAGCTGGCTGTTTCATGGTACTGGCCACGTAGAGGACAAGGAATAATTCGCCTGCCCCCAAGCCCCCAAAAGAGAATGAAACCAAATTTAAGCCATAGTGCCAGGCGCCTGGAGCCCGGCTCATAGGCACAGGGCTCATGGCGAACCACAGCTTTCCTCGGCCACCAAGGTCCCTGCCAACTCGGGCATCCTCAGCCCTGCTCGCAGAGGCAGAGGGACTGGAAATGCTTCCCGCTGTCACTTAGGGGTCTGGAGTCACCAGAATGGAACCTCTGGCTCAGACACCACAGAGGACTTTGTGAAACACGTCTAAGGCGAAGTCCCACAGACTGACTGATAAAGAGGAGACCCCTCTGAGGTGTGGTGGTGTGCACCTGTCATCCCGGCGCTTAGAAGGCTGAGGCAGGCAGATTTCTGCAAAGTTGAGGCCAGCCTGAATGACATCTCAAAAAAACCCAAATAAATAAGCAAACGTAACAGAGCTTCCTTGCATCTTTCTCTATTTAGGCCAGGGCGGATGCGCTTTGGTTTCAAATCTCCGCCTCGGCTTAGCCACCATCTCCAGGCGGGTGCTGATTCATTTCTCCCTCCCTCCGCCCTTCCATTCACACTGGGAATTTCAAGTTGTGGAACAAACCAAACCTGTCCCCGGCTTCACACAACCAGCCCACACGGCAACACCTTCCTCCACTGGCAGCCGGGCGCTGTCTCAGGAGAATGGAATCCCTGTAAAGGCAGGCTCTGTGTTTGGCCCAAACCAATTAAAAATCACTCTCACAGTGAATTCCAAACACTCTGCTTACAGCACCTTGCTGCCCTCACACCCTCCGCCTGCCCTCCCTAAGCGAGCACTTCGCAGTGGCTCGTGTATTTTAATTGTTTAGTTTTTTGAGACAGGGCCTTGCTTTGTAGCCCAGGCTAGCCTTGGTCTCACCGAAATCCTCCTGTCTCAGCCTCTTGAATGCAGGCACTACAGGTGTGTGCCACGGTGCCCAGCTGCTGTTGATATTTTTAAACATACAGTGTGGATGGTAACTGCGACACAACCTACCTCTCAGCACAAAGATTCTGATGTCATCAGAAGAAAATACGCCATCAGGTATTGTGTCCCTGGGCTCACCGCACCCCAGAAGTTTTCTTGGGATCCACAGGAGACACAGAGGTGCTGAGAGCTGAGCTGAGCTGCTGTGCCCTACCTCCCCTACCCGGTTCACTACTGGTTGCCCTGCTGGAGCTGCCCGATTCAAGGCCTGGACCCAGACGCCACCAGTGCAGTCAGAGTGTGGGGCCGAGCCGGAGGATACTGGGCAATCCTAGGGTGCATGTGAAGGTCTTACTTCCTCCCTAGACTTTGCCGTTCTCTATTTTATTTTGGGGGCTTGAGGATAGGATGTAGGGTCTTAGCACTCAGTCGTGGCTTCGAGGCTTGCTCATTTATTAGTTTGAATCAATATCATGCTACGGTACTAATTTGCACAGCTGAACCTGAACTTGGGATCCTCCTGCCTCAGCCTCCCTGAGTTCTGGGCGTCGAGATGTGCACCCCCTGTTCCTGTTTATTTTAGATCTTCAGGCTCCAAGAGGCCCTTACTTCAGGAGAGTAACCGAATCTCAGTGCTGCTGTGAACTTTGTAAGGTTTACAACTCAAACAAGAAACAAACTTCCAGGTCACAACATGCAACCGATCAGCGACATTCACCAAAAAAGCTTAACCCTAGGGGCTGGGGATTTAGCTCAGCGGCGTAAGCACCTGCCTTGCAAGCAGGCGGTCGTGAGTTCGATCCCCGGTACCGGAAAAAAAGGAAAAAAAAAAAAAAAAAGATGAAAAAAGCTTAATCCACTGTGGGTGGGACAGAGAGTCTGACTGCATCCTCTGTGTCCCCTGAGGTCACAAGCAGAGTGGTGCACACGAGTCTCTTTAGGTCATGTTGCTCTGAGGGTCTCAGGCTACCCCAGTAAAGCCTAGATCTATTTTTATTTTGGTAGAGGCAGGCTCTTGCTATGCGGTTTAGGCTGGCCTTGAACTGGCTGTGACCCTCCTGCCTCAGCCTCCCGCATGCTGATCACAGGGGGTGCCACCGCACCCGGCTTAGAGCCCTTTCACCCTGTACGCTGGCGCAGTGGCCTGATCCAGACAGAGCCAGGAGCCTTGCCTGTCGCACCTCCTGCATCTGCATGGGATAGGCCGCTGTGCTGCAGAGGCCCCCAGGAGGCCGTGTCCTCATGGCCCGGCCCTCAGTGCCCCCGCCACGCTGACCCTCAGCAGCTCTGCCTGCTGCACCTTCCTCGGGCGTCGTTGGTGGCATCCCTGGTGCGGTTCCCTACCTTGGCCTCATCGTTGATGTCCCAGGTGAAGGAGATGGCATTGTAGGCGATCTCCTCGATGTTGCTGATGGTGTTGAAGCTCTCCTTGTAGTCAGCTGGACACAGGCGCAGGAGGAGAGAAGACCAAGGGGCTGTGAGCTCTAGGCTCCGTGAGCCAGGGCAGCACGGCAGAGCTCTGCTCCCCACCCCACACCCCCAGGAAATGTAAGTGAGTGCTTCTATGGGTAGAAGGAAGCACCCAAAAAGGAAGGGAAAGAATCAGAGAGCTGCTGTAATGGAGCCCAGCTTAGATACATTCAGTTTAGTCTCATTATCTCAAATTTGGGAAATTTAAGACCAGTGTAATGGCACAGGCTGTAATTCTGGCATTCAAGAGGCTGAGGCAGGAATATCTCTGCCAGTTTGAGGCCAGCCTGGGCTACACAGTGAGCTCAACATCACTCTATCAACAGTATGGAGCACATACAGAGGTTCTAGCTCAAAAAACAAAAGATTATAAAGAATTAAGAAATGTAGGTCTAACAAGGTTATTGGGGGACTATTTTGTTTCTGAGACAGGGTCTCTCTGTGGGACTCAGGCTGACCCTGAATTCACAATGTAGCACACACTTGCCTCAAACTTTCGGGGATCCTCCTGCCTCAGCTCTCCAATGCTGGAATTCTGGCATGCATCACCACATCCCCTCAAAAACCATGCAGACTGGACTGGGTGTCAAGAGTATTTGCCCAGCATGTGTGAGGCACCTGGCCACTCCAGTGTGGCCCAAAAGAAAACGATAAAGAAACCCAATGCCCCCACACTACTAAGGCTCCGGGCCGGGCAGCACCTGGGAGCCACCACCTGGCCGCAGGCCCTTGTAGGGGAAGCCAGGTGGAACACAGGTTCCAGGAAGCCCAGGACAGGCTTTGGAGGAGACTGTGGCTGGCCGAGGAGGCCAGGAACCTTGGGCAGGAAGTGACCGCTGCCAAGAACAACTGGGCATAGAGAGTGGCCCCCAGGCCCGGCGCTGTGCGGCCGGCTCTTACCGATGTCAATGCACCTTTGTTTGGCGGTGTGCTGCCGTGAGTGCCAGTACTTCCAGTGCCGCAGCTGGTCTTCCCGGCTTTTGTCCTCAGCGAAGACCACCATGATCACACTCTGCGGACACAGATGTGGCTGGTGAGCCCATTAGATTCCTAGCAGCACGCTTTGAGCCGGCACTCAGAGCTGCTGCAGGCCATGGAGACGCCATCTTCTGATGTTTTCAGACAGGCTGGCCTCAGACTTGGGAGAAGCCTCCTGCTTCAGCCTCCCGAGTGCTGGGATGACAGGCATGTGTCACCACATCCAGCAGAACCTGGGACACCCACTGGGCTTTCCCAGAGAACAGAAGTGGGTAAGGAACTCACTCGAACTTTGCTGATGGGATGGTGGATGCCCTCAGGGCTGCTTGCCTCCTTCAGGGTGACAGGGTAGAACTGGCCCTTGTTCAGGTACGTCATCGTGCTGTCCCCTGGCTTCTGCCGCAGCGACTTGGATGCTTCCAGGGTGTACTCGAAGTTGTTCCTGAAGGACAGAGATGGCAGATGGTGAACGCTGTGGACAGCCCTGAAATGCCTCTGTGTGTGAAATGCCTCTTCCTGGGGTAGGGATGCAGCTTGAGCTCTCAGCACCCAGCACTTTGAGTCCCTCACATGGGTCCACGAAAAGTTCTAGGCTGTGATGTCACCAGCTACACACAGGAGGCTGAGGCCGGGAAGGTGTCAGCCAGTAACCCTCATGGGTCACACTGCCGGCCTGGGTTTATCTGGCAAAAGGGACAGAAAGACAGCTGGAAACCCTACAGTGACCCAACTTGAGCTGTACGTGGGGTGCACACTCAGAACCCCAGCATTGGGAGGCTAAGGCAGGAGGACTGCTGGGAGTCTGAAGCTAGCTTGGGCTGTGTGGTGAGTAGTAGGCCGGCTGAACTCACAGCTAGATCCCATCTCAAAAACCAAAAAAGCTGACATCTCTGCAGATGGGCAGGCTGCGGTTCTCTGCATTTCCCATGTCCTTCTGCCACCACTCAGTCACGAACTGTCCAACCTCCCTACGCCAGAGGTCAGCAAACGACATCCAGCAGTGAGCTCTGCAAGGGCGTCTCAGTAAGTAACGATTTCTCTCAACACAGCTGCACCGCAGCTGGCTCCGCACCACCCAGGACACTCAGGGCCTCACCAAGGCCTCTGAAGGCCGCCCCATCAGGGAGGAGGGCTGCAGCCCCGTCCCAGAGCCTACAGGCATAAGGCGCTAAGGAAAGTCTTCATTCCCAGAAAGGCCCGGACTTTAAACACCTTTCTCCACTGCAAACCTAACAAATATCAAACACATATGAGGTGTTACACAGAAATCCCACACTGCTAAGGAACCTGAGACTCTGCATGCATGATCCAGGAACTAGACAATACTCCTTTCTAAAGCAAGGTACACAATTTTGGGAAACTAAAATGAAGCTTCCAGATCAGAAAAAAAAAAAAAAAAAAAAAAAAAAAAGCTTGCATGTATTATATCACTAGCAAGGCTAATAAAAAATCTGGGCCTTGTCACCTGTCTGTTACCCCGAGAGTCCCACTTACTTGGAACAGAAGCGGCCTCGAGAGCTGGTTTAATCCCCATCTCTCCTTTCAGATTCCAGCCGTCCACACCCCAGAGAGAAGCCAAGGAAGAAAAGGCACCACCACCAGAAGACGAGGAAACCGAAGACTCCAGAGACCACGATCAAACGGGCGGCAGTGAAGATCGCTGCCTGGGCCCGGCCAAGCAGCGGTCAGGAAAGGGAAAGCGCCACCCCGGCCACCTCTGATTTGTGAGCACAAGGGAGAAGGTCAGAAGCGCTGAAAATGAATCAGATGAAGAGGCAGCGATTACCCAGAAACACTGTCAAAAACATAGTCCTCCGAGTTCACGCCAGGCATCCGCAGGCTGAGGTCCGAGGGGAAGAAGACCTGAAACAGCAACGTGATGAGCCACGGCCCTGCTCGGTGGCAGGCCGCTCCCGGTCAGGCCCTGCTGCGGCCCACGGCAGCTCACTACCCTTTCGATGCTCATCTCTAAATCAGACTTTGAAATCTACAACAAATCTAAGTTAAAAAAACAAAGAAGAAGAAAAAAGAAAATTGTGAGCCGGGCAGGGTGGCGCATGCCTGTGATCCCAGCATTTGGGGAGGCTGAAGCAAGAGGACTGCTGTGAGTTTGAGCTTGGCCTGGACGACGTAGTGAGACCTTGTCTATTAAGAAAAAATGATAAAAAGACAATGTCTAGGGGCTCGGGATTTAGCTCAGCGGCATAAGCGCCTGCCTTGTAAGCAGGCAGTTGTGAGTTCGATCCCCAGTACCGATAAAAATGAAAAAAGACAATGTCTACTCTTAGACACCACTCAAGAGACTTAAGACAATTGTGTATGAACATTGACAAAGTGCTTGGGGTCAATCAGCCCTTTCCTGTCTCTCTTGACCACGTCAGATCTTTCTGGGCGCTAGCATCTGCAAATAAGAGGATCATGTCAAGGCGTCACGTGACACCAGGCTGGCAAGTGGGATGTGCTCCTTCGGGAAGCAGCAGGGTCTGCCCCTGCCTCCCATGCACACATGGAAGCTGCTTCCCATGTGGGGCACCGAAGATGCCTTCAGACACCGTGCGCCCCTCACCATCACCCACGCGCTTGGAAACCCTTGGATCTGGAGCTGTCACAGGGTGCACCTGTGCCCTGCCCCGTCCTTCACTGTCCCACCAGCCCAGCAGATGCCTGGGAAGACGCCCACACTAAAGGGGGGTTTCAGGAAGCTCAGTGGGGCCCGACAACTGCAAACAGCCCTCGAGGCTTCCTCCGGCCCAGTGGGAGATTACGCACGGGGCCCTGTTCTGGAGCCAATCTCTCAGCTGAAATCCTGATTGTTCACTGGGCAGCTGGTAAGATTAGCCATGTACCCCTGATAATAATGTCTGGATTTATAGGTTTAGCTTACAAGTTATACCTCCAGGGCCTTTTCTCTTAAGGAAAACAAAATCTTTTCTTCCTAATCCACCCATTTCGGGCTGAGTTTCAGGCTTACGTAATGAGGACATGGTGGAACCCAATACTTAGACAAACACGGGGCCCAGGAGATGCAGGCTTTCCCGTACCTCCTGCACACCCTCCTTGAAGGGCTCGGAGAAGGTGGAATCTGGAGTGCGCCGCTGAGCATTGGGGGGCTGAGTCCCGGAGCCGAATGGCTCGGCATTGAGGTTCCGGTCGAAGACCACCACCCGCTCCGCGGGCTCGGGGTGATACACGGCTGGGGGCAGCCCCACCGTGAAGCCATGGGGCTGAATCTCTGTCTTGATGGAGTGGGTGGGCATAGTGGCGATGGAGACGGTGACAGTGGTGTCAGGCGCCGTTAGGGGGCTGCGCTTCTCAAGGCCCAGCTGGTTGCCGTGAGGAAGGACGATGTTGAAGGGCACGTTCTTCAGCACTTGTACCCTGCTGTCGCCAGCAGTGAGGAGGGACTGCTCGGCCACACTTGGGACACTGGTTCTGCAGGGAGGCAAAGAAGATGACACTCTCAGACTGGGTGCGCAGATGATTCTCCCATGATGCTTTTTCCTAGCGGTGCTGGGGACCGGACACAGGTGTGGGCATGAGCCCCCTGCCCTCAATGATCAGGGTGGCACGGGCTGCGTGAGCAGTGCACGGCAAGACGGGGGAGGCTTACCCTCACAAGGCAGGCACGTAACGTTCTCAGAGGAGACACCATGTACTCACAGCTCTCCTCTCCTCAGCTTCATTTTTTCCCACAACCCTAAAATTCTCGTATTTTACACTAAATCTGGGCCAAGGGTGGTGGTGCATGGCCTGTAATCCCAGCACTCGAGAGGCTGGGGCAGGAGAATCGCCATGAATTCAAGGTCAGCTTTGGCTACAAAGTGAGATCCTGTCTCAAAAACACTAAAATAAATGAACATGAGGAATGAAGTCTGGTGCGTGGGCGCTCCCAATGCTCCAGTGGCAGGGGCCTGGCCTCACATTTCAGAGCACTGTGCAGTCTGGTTTTCTCTGTCCCCGAAAGAAAACCCAGGGACACACTGGATTGCAGAAGTTTCATGTCTAATCGATTCAGGCTCAATCAATATTCTGGTCAATATAAACTATGACAGGTAGTGGGTAATAGGAAAGGTGTTTTGAACATTCTTGGGAACATTTGTTTTTTGAGACAGCGTCTTGCTATGTACTTCAGTAACTCAGGCTGGCCTTGAACTCACAATGATCCCTCTGCCTCAGCTTCCCTCCCCAGTGCTGAGATGACAGGTGTGCACCACCACAGCTGGCTCTCCTTGAAATCTTACAGGCTAAAAACTTTTAAGGGAAAGAGCAGGTTGGTAATCTTGTAGTTTCAATAAAATAATTCAAATCCTAGGCCACTCATTCATGCCCAGGAATTTAGCCTGAAGAAAGACAAAAAGCCAGGCAAGGCACAGAGTGGCTGTCATCCTAGTATTCTGTGAGGCTGAGGCAGAATAGCAAGTGTGAGCCCAGTGTGAGCAACTTAATGATTTAGTGAGGCTACAGTTAAAAAGGGGCTTGGGGAGGCAGCGCAGCGTGAAGGCTCTCAGTCCAACCCCTGTAGAGAAAGAAGGAAGCAAGAAAGGAAAATAAAGGGGCAAAGGGAGACAAGGAAAAAGCGCTCTAGAAAGCTCTTCACTAAGGCTTTGTCCTTTAGGGAAAGACTGCACAGCCTGCAGTAAGAAAGCTGGTTTGCATTTAGGTTAAGAGAGTTCAGCAAAAATAAAAGTGACCACGAAAGTCATGGAAGAGGAAGAGGAAGAAAGGCCCGGCAGAGGGGTTATACAGCCAGGTGTGGATGCAGTTGGGGGCGCCTATGGCTGGGGCACTGGTGCCCTGCACAATGTCAGGGAACCCCATAATGAAAGGCAAGGACTAACAGCCACAGATAAGCCCTCCCCATAGGACAAGGATGAAGAGCAGCAGAGCAATGTGGAGAATATTTATGAGACAAACAAAAGCAGAGGAAAGCACCAAAGCCTTTCTGGAACAGAGGCAGAAGCCTGTCCAGGATTGCACAAAAGAAAACAATAAATAAGTAATCATCAGAGTAGAGAGGGTCTAAGCGATTGCTCGTTCTGTAAATATGCTTTATTACCTATAAACACAACCCCGTTTAAAAGTGATTTTTAAAAAGAAATTTTCAACCAGGCACAGTGACACACACCTGCAACCCCAGGTCTTGGGATGCTGAGGCAGGAGGGTTGTCATGAGTTCAAGGCCAGCCTGAAATACACAGTGATTCCATGACTCAGAAACCAAACCAAACCAAACCAAACCAAAATACATACATAAAATAAAATGATTTTTAGATGTTTCTCATGGCAACCAGATGTGGTGGTACCTGCTGTCATCCTAGCATCTGGGAGGCTGAGGCAGGAGGATCATCTTGAGTTTGAGGCTAGCCTGAACTACATAGCAAGACCTGGCCTCAAAAAACAAACAGGAGGAGTTTGAAGACCAATTTACTGTACTGAGTTTTACTCACTTGAGTCACTGGTATTATTTCCATTTTGTGTTTTGTCTTGTTTTGCATTTTGAGACAGGGTCTCACTGTGCAGTTCAGGCTGGCATCAAACTGGTAGCGATCTTTCTGCCTCAGCCTCTTGACTGCTGGAATGATGGGTGTAGGTCTTCATACCTGCCTTTAAATTTGTGTTTTATTTGTAGGGGAACATGGTATCTTTGACATGTGCTATTTCCATTGTAATCCAACATTACCTTTTGCTGTGATCGGGCTCTGGGTGCTCTATCTCGGGCTTCGCCGTGGACGACCTTCTCTCTCGAGGGACCTTAGATGGGGATACAAGGGGCAAGTTCAATCCTCACCTGAGAAGCGTGGGCCGCGCCTCCAACATCCGGTCACTCATTTCTGATCCCCAGATCACCCATGAGCAAGGTGGAGTGGTGGGCTCTGGGCACACAGCTGGGACACAACACACAAAGACACCGGTCCTCAAGGAGTTTACCCCGGTCGTCATGGTGACAGGGAGGTTCCTGGGTCAGATAAACCCAGAGCAGCCGGAAGCCCAGGTCATCACTGGGCTCCAGCACTCAGCTCCTGGGGGAAGCTAGATTTCACCCACCTGTCTGTGTGGCCTGACACAGAAGAGCCCTGACTTCTAATGACTCCACTGTGCTGCCACTTGCTCAGGGCGGGCACAGGACAGACACACACTGGGACTGTCACGGCCCCAGAGCCTGGCACCAGCACTGCAGCAGGAAAGCACGAAGGTCTCTGGCATTTGTGTGCCCACTACCCAAGTAGTAACTCGTTTGTTCTATTTCTTCTCCTTTTGTCTCTCTCTCTTTTTTTTTTGCAGTACTGGGGATGGAACCCAGAGCCCTGGCAAGTAGCCACACCCCCAAGAAAGTTTTTCTTTCAATGGGGTTTGTTTCTGTAAGTGGCTAAGTTGCCCAGACTGGGTTTAAACTTGTGATCTTACATATTTCACTAAAAAAACCAAACTAAAATAACTTTTACACTTATCACAGGAAACTTAACAAGTTTCACTATAAAACTGTGACCTTTACAGGGGCGTCGTGGCACATACCTATAACCCCAACACTCGGGAGGCTGAGGCAGGAGGGTTACATGAATTGGAAGCCAGCCTGGGCTACACAGTAGGTGGAAGGCCAGCCTTGCACTGCATAGTGAAACCTTGTCTCAAAAAGGTGACCAAAAAAAAAAAAAAACAACAATAACAACAACAAAAAAGGCAGGCAATGGGGCTGGGGATTTAGCTCAGTGGCATAAGTACCTGCCTTGCAAGCAGGCAGTCCTGAGTTCAATCCCTGGTACCGATAAAAATGAAAAAGACCAAAAAAAGAAGTCGTGAGTTTGATCCCCAGTACTGATAAAAATGAAAAAAGACAAAAAAAAAAAAAAAAAAAAAAAAAAGGCAGGCAGGCACTGTGCTGCTGAGCTGTATCCTTGACCTGGAACTTAAACTTCTTTTGCTGTTGTTTTTGGAGACAGGGTCTCACTATGTAGTCCAGGCTAGGCTTGGACTCGAAGCGATCTTCCTCCCTCAGCTTCCTGACTGCTGGTGCATGCCACCATGCCCAGCACAACCTAAGCTCATATTAAGCCATCCCTAAGTATCCGCTATTGGCTTAAGGGAAGGCGGAAGCCACTGTTACACAGCAGACTGTGTCTGGCCGAGAGGACAATCTGTGGCCAGAACCAGGCCAGGGGAGACCTTACCTGCCCACGGACTAGCTGTAGACCCTAAGAGTGAGGGTCGATACGGCCAGCATGACACAAGCCATCAGCCAGTGGCAGCTCTATTTTATTTATTTATTTATTTTTAAATTTTATTTTTTATTTGCTTTTGGTAGTATCAGGGATTGAACTCACAACTGCAGACCTGCCAGGCAGGCGCTTAGGCCACTGAGCTAAATCCCCAGCAGCTCTATTATTAGGACAAAGGAGATGTGAGATAGACCAGGGCACAAAACAAAGGTCCTGTGCAAATCATGCAGGTCTTGGCTTCTGTTTAGTTAAGACCACTACAAAGCTGGGCATGGTGCTGCATGCTTGTCATCCCAGCAGTAAGGAGGCTGAGGCAGGAGATCTCCAAAAGTTGAAGGCCACGCTGGGCTACATAGTGAGACCCTCTCAAACCTCCTCCCCTCAAAGGAAAAAAAAGGACTAATGCAAATCTCTAGGAACAGGCAACAAGACACTCTCATCTTAGAACTAGCAGATCTCAGATGTAAGAATATGCATTTTTTTCCTCGGCTCCTCAACAAGATCAAATCAAAGGCCCTGTGACAGCACTCATAGAAGTGGCTCCCCTAGACCCCACAGGGAACAGGTCAGAGCAGGGGCATTAGCTCGGCCCCTCTTTGGCACCGAGGACACCATGGTAAGACAGGCAAGTCGGTGACACAGCTGCCATCCTCTTTGATGGTTGGGACAGCTGGCTGCGTCACCTGTCTGCTGCAAAGCGACCCTTTGAGTCTCTGATCGCACAAGTCCAGCTTTGAAGCCTGTGAGTCAAAGCACCCATTAAACTATTTATAGTGGCTACAAAAACCAGCTCGGACATGGCTCAGGTGGCGGCTCTTTTACGGGCTGGACTACAGGAGCTGCGGGGGGCACACCTTGTAGTAGTCGTAGAGCAGCCCCAGTGCTGCCGCGCTGTCCTCGTCTCCGTTGATGCTCATCATGGCTTTGGTGGCTGCAGTGAGCGGGTTTTCCAGGAATGACTTCCAGGCTTCATCCTCACTGGTGTATGGACGCCGCTGCGGGTAAAGCGCTTCATTCTGGAGGACCAGTACTGGCCTTTTGCTGCAGGGGAATGAAAACACCGCACTAGCCCTGGGCATGATGGCACATGGCCTTATTCAGGAGGCTGAGGCAGGAGAACTGTTCATTAGGAGACGGAGGCCAGGTTACCCTACATAGTGAGTTCAAGGTCAGCGTGACTGTCTCAAAAAAGAAAACACCAGGCCAAGTGATTCACAGGTTTTACACCAACAGATGCAGGGACACAGAGTAAGGCCACAGGCCCACACCCTCTCTCTGCCCCATCAGGGACATAGAGTGCTTCATGTTGCTACATGTTACTTTCTTCTTACTCCCGCTGATGTCAGGCCTGAAGAAATCTCCTTCCTAAAAGCCAGGGCTGGGGCGGAAAGAAAAAGGGACCCTGGTGAATCCTTGGGGGCAGATGGGAGAGTTAGGTTTATTCCCTGATCCAGGAGATTGGCGTGGAATGTAGCCAAAGGGGATTGTAAATCAATAAACAAGCATAATTTTCAGGCAAGGGAGTTAACTGTTTATTTTCGAGATAAACCCTTAAGAATCTACAATAAATGAAGCCATTGGATAGAAGGAGGTTCAAGAAAAAGAGCAAGGGAAATCTGTTTTTTAAAATCTTTACTAGTTTTTAAGGCTGAGAGGCAGAGAATGTACCAAACATGTACAGAACCCTGAGTTCCATTCTCAGCTGCCCTCTGCTCCCCCAGATAAATAAATAAAACCTACCCTTGTTTCTCACACAGGCAAAGAACTATTTTTGTGTGAACATTGCAGTTTGGTGGGAAAAATTCAGAAAATCAATGGTAAGCCTAGTGAAGCCTTATAGAAGAATTAATTTAAAAGACTAGGCAAACATTACTGATTCCAAAAAAATTACAATGTCAACAGTCTCAACAACTTTTCAGCAGGGACTATTTAATAAGTCAATAAAGACAAAAAATCCAACATTGACTCTAGCCTAAATTAGGCAAGTTTTTTTTTTTTTTTTTTTTTTTTTTTTTTGTGGAGGGGAGCAGGAATTGAACTCAGGATCCTGCACTTGCTAGGCAGGCACTATGTGGCTGAACTGTAACCCTGGCCTGGTTTTGTTGTTTTTTTTAAAAGGCAAACAATAAATTGTAAATGTCTGGAGCTGTACCGAATTATTATTCCAACAAGTAAGCACTCATTGCAACACAGACTTGAAATATGTAAATGGCCTACAGGTGATCCACCTTTTCTAACAGGGAAGAGAGAGAGAGACTGGTTATCTTTTCAAGTAATCAACAAGGGTTAGGGTTTGGCAGACACCGGGGCCCTTTAAAAATAGGGGTTTAGAAAAACAGCAGCTCTGAAAAGGAGAAGGAGTCCAGAATTCACCCTGGATCGAATGCAGTGCTATCCCAAAGCCCAGGTCTCTACTGAAACCTATATTTGGTCTCTAGCTGGGATAGGATTTTACATGGTCCCAATTTGTTTAAAAATAGAGAAGAACATACAAATCTAGAATTTTAAGAAAATACACGCTAGGTATGGTGGTGCATGCCTATAATCCCAGCATTAGGGAGGCTTAGGCAGGAGGAATACAGTGATTTTAAGCCAGCCTGTGCTACATAATGAGACTCTGTCTCAAAAGTCCAAAAAGACCTCCACCAAAAGTAAGTATAGCAACGGGCATTCCCAGGGCTACCAGTGCAGAACCAACAGCTACACACACAGTGGTACTTGGGGAGATTTCTGCTGCACTAAGCTATTATTAATAGCCTAATAGCTACTTCCAAAGACTATGACAGCCCTTGGCCCATACCATTCCTGTAATGCTAGTTTTTCAGCTTTCCTTCGTCTTCCACCCCCATCCCAAATTTGTACCAGCATCAGAAAATAAATATTTTTCCAATGGCTTTATGTCTGCGTTCACCCTCGGGGTGTTTTATTATTTCCAAAGCGTGCCTAAGGCCAAAACGTTAGCTTTGGAAAATTTTGCCTTATCTGAGCTGTAAGGCAAGACAAACACAGAAGCAGTTGTCCTGAGTCCTGGCTTCTTCACAGCCCTCCAGCTATGGTCAAGCCCTGAAGGCTCCTGGGTACTCAGGGGTCTGAAACAGAGTTCAAGCGAAGAATTAATTGAACTGCATATTCTACACCCAAAACTAAATGCCTTGGAGATGACTCCACACAGGATATCCAGCCTCATCCAGAAAAATTGCACACCTAAAAGGATCCTTTGGAAACACTTCATAAAGTTATCTGCCTTGAATTTACTGATCTAAAACAGCCTTGATTGGCTGGGCGTGAATTTCTTTTTTAAAAAAATAAGTGTTTTTCTGGTCCCTCCCGCCAGTACTTTGGGAGGTTGAGGCTGGCTGAGCAATCTCCGAATAATAAATAATAAAATAAGGAGAAGGAGAACAAGGAGGACAAAAAAGGCCAAGGATGTAGCTTAGTGCAAAGGTCCTGGCTCAATTCCCAGCACCAGAAAAAAAATTTTGAGGCAGTTTCATAGCTACCTACAAGTTGCCAAGCGCGCAGAGCCCAGCTCCCGGGCCTGGCTTCCCTGGTCTTACATCCCCTTCCCTCTGCCAAACAAAATACTTTGTGCAGTCGCGAGCTCCCGGGGCGCGCTCCCGCGCGGTCCGTCCTAACCCATCGCCCCAACTCCAGCCTCCTCTTGCTACTCCTGATCTTTCAAACAGGACGGGAAGCCCGGCGCCGCCCCCGGCGATGCCGGCGGCGTCCTCGGCCCCGGACCGGCCGAGCGTGGCGGACGATGCCAGGGCCCCGCGAGTCCCCTTCGCCCGTGGCCGTCGCCCGGGTCGCGGCTCCCGCGGCGCGGGATGCCAGCCACGCGCGCCGGGCGACCGTGAGCTGCGGGCCCCGCCGGGCGGCGGCGGTAGCCGGCGAGGCTGCCCGGGCCCCGGGCGCGCATAGCGGCCGCACGGGCCGATCGCGGCGCCGCGCGGCCCGGCCGGCGCCTCACTCACTTGTCGTACTCCTGTGTCATCGCGCCCGCTCGCTCGCCGCTGCCGGGCCGCAGAACTGGACTTTCGGGTTGGGACAGTACACCCGACCGGGGGGAGGAGGCGGCGGCCGCGGCGCTGGCGGGTCCGGAGCGGCGGCCCCGACGGGTTGGGTTCGCTTTTCTCGCTCTGAGCCGGCTCCGCGCGGGCTGTGCGCACTGGGCGCCGGGCGCGGCCGCTCATTGGCCAGCGGTGAGTCGGTCAAGGGCGGAGTCTCGGAGGGTCGCGCCTTCTGATAGGACGGGAAGCGGGACGCGGGGGCGGGGCCCATGGGAGTCGAGAAGCGCCGGCTGGGGGTTCCACGCGCTCCGCGTGGCGGCGTTCGGGAGTGGTGCGCTTGGGACAGTGTGGCTGTAGGGACCCTCCTGACCAGTGCGGGAGTCCCGCAGCCCTGGCGCGCATCTGCCGCCCCGCGTGTGCATGCGGAGTCCCGCCGCACTCGTGAGCGCAGGAGCTGCGGGTCCGTGCACTCGCCTGGCACAGGCTCCCGTACCCATCTGGGGGTCGCGACGCCCCGACTCCTCCAGGCCGCCTTCATCCCCAGCCTGGGGCTAGTCCCGCTGACCTGTTGCCCTGTCACTCCATTGTCTGCTCCATTTACTGTCACCTCCCCACCCCAAGCCCGGACCCAACAGGAGAGGCGCCTGAGTGCCAGCTAGGGTCCCTGATGAGCTAAGCTGGCCAAATTGGCAGCCGCGAGGTGCGGAGAAACGACGGTTTCCGGGGAGCCTGGTGGAGTGGGGCTTTGAGCCGGGGTGAGGCCTGGGCATCTAGGCATGGCCGGTTGGGCCCAGAACAGGAGGGGGCTCGGTGGAGGGAATCGGTCCCTGAAGGCTTTGAGAGGACTTAGGGTTGCACCCTGAGAAGGGGGTGTGGTGTGAATGGGCAGCTATGGATCTCTCTTGATTTAAAATAAGCGCCCCACCCCACCTCCGCAGCCTGTCCCACATTTGTTATTATTTGATTTTTTTTCTTTTTTATCGGTACCAGGGATCGAACTCACGACTGCCTGCTTGCAAGGCAGGCGCTTATGCCGCTGAGCTAAATCCCCAGCCCCTATTATTTGATTTTTTGATGATGGCCATTCCTTTTGGGGCGAGATGGAATCTTGGCACAAGGATAAACTTGAGGAATTTGCAGGAAAATAGATGCACTTTGAGATCCCCAGATTAAGGGAAGTAAACCAGGCTCATACGCTTCAATAGGACATGGCTTCTCTTCTATGAAAAACCCAAAGGATAAAAAGCAAAATAAAAGGTAACCGGAAGTAGAGAAATTAGGGTGATTTTTGTTTCCTTTTGTCTTTTGGATCTTTCTCAAATGAGTAAGGGATGGAAAGAATAAAGAAAGGAAAAAAAGGAAACAGCGTTTGTGACTGGGAAGAAGACCAAGAATTGCAAGGGGTGGGAGGAGAGGGGTAGGACAGAAAAAAAGAATTATTTTTGAGTTATGCACACACCTCCTCCTCACAATGAATGTGATCATTTTGCAAACATGGAGTCATCACAGATTTAAAAAATAAAATAATCTGGGGCTAGGGATGTAGCTCAGGGCAGAGCGCTTTATGCACAGCACAAGGTCTGGGTTTGATCCTCAGCTTTGAAAACGGATAGACATGGGGGCTGGAGGTTTAGCTCAGCGGCATAAGCACCTGCCTTGCAAGCAGGCAATCCTGAGTTCGATCCCCGGTACCGATAAAAAGGAAAAAGACAAAAAAAAAAAAAAAGGAAAAAAGAAAACGCATAGACAAAATTCACCTGGCCATTGAGCAGTCGGGACCAAACAGGTGGCCTCTGAGGTAACAGGAGCATAAGCTCCGGATGGCCCAGTGGAGGTGGTCAGGGAAGCGGGGAATCCTGGTAGATTGCTAATTCACAAGCAGTGGGATGTGGTGAAACTGCCTGTGGTGTCTGAGTGCCCAGTGGGACTCCAAGGCTTTCAGTTGAGCAGCTGGAAGCAGTGAGTCGCCCTTTGCTGGGAGGGGTGCGGGCGACTTGGGGAGAGTGGGAGGCTTTTTGATGAGAGACAGAGGAGATGGGTCCCCTAGGTGGTTAGCTGTGAGACTGGGTCTCTGGGAGAAGTCTGGGCTGGAGCTGGACTTGGGCCAGGCTCTCTCCAGGCTACAAAGGAGGGGAGAGGGGGGGACCGGCCTGGAGCCTGGCGCCGAAACAGTGGACACTGAGAAGCAGGGGAACCCGCGGTGGAGACAGGAAGCAGAGACATGGGTCAGGAGAACCCAGAAGCATGGGAGTCAAGGCCAGTGCGCAGCGATCCACTGGCCTGTGCTGGAGACCAGGCATATGAAGGTTGCCCTGTCCAAGTCAGCTCCACCTGCCCCTTGTCCCCAGCACTATTGTTCCTGTTCCCAGGTCTGGAACCCAGGTGGCAACCATAGCTCCACTTGTCCCAACCCCTCCTGTCCTTGTCCTGCAGCCCTGGAGACAACACGGGAGCCTTGCAGCCTGCTCTTTCTTCTGATGCAGTAATTTCCTGTTTCAATTATGCTTTCAAAGTGAACTAATTTAGCCAGGCCTGGTGGGGCACGTGCCTGTCATACTAGCACTGAGGGAGGCTGAGGCAGGAGGATCATAAGTTTCACCCTACCCTGAGAACTCTGTGAAATGAGTGAGACCCTGTCTCAGAATTAAAAATAAAAAAGGGCTAGGGACAAAGCTCAGCAGAATGCTCCAGGGTTCCTGCTCCAGTGCTGCATAAAATCAAAGTAAAATATAGATTCCATGTTGCTCCATATACTCCCACAAAGCCCAGATACCTCAGGGGCTCGGTGCCCCTTCTAACCTGCCTTCAGTTTTTAAACTATGACAGAGTAGTGTTGATAGTTTTTGCTCTAATTTTTGATTCAGGGTCTCACTAGATGGCCCAAGCTGGCCTCTAACTCCTGGGTTCAGGAGATCCTCCTGCCTCAGCCTTTCAGTCTCTGGGACTCTGGCACACAGTGCTGTGTCCAGGCTGGTAGTATTTTGAAAGAAGAATTTTTGAAAGTGGCTAAGTAGCTTCCTAAGGCACAGGCTCTGCAGTAGGAAGCTAACTTGAGGCCCTTCTCATGATGAAGATGACAAGGTCCTCAGGGACCTGATCAGGGCAGGTGGCAGATCAAGTCATAGTCCGGGCTCCCTCACAGGCCTCTTCAAACATCAAGACCATCTCAAGAGAGCCCCTCTCTGCAGGTCTTGGTAGAGGAAATGGTGGTAGAGGCCAGCTGGTCCCTGCAGTGCCCATGCTTGGAGACCACTGTTGTGACAGCCTGAGTCCCAGATCCTCAGGAGCATCCAGGTCCTTCTCCATCTGCCCCGATGTCTATCCCATGAGAAGCCCCAGCACCCTGTGCCCCTGTCCTAGCATCCCCTGGATGTGTTCTGAATTCCACGTCCACTCCATCCGGCTGTCCTGGTCTGTATTTCTTCAAATGTCAAGGCCACCAGGAATGCTGGTGCGCACCTGTCATCCCAGGACTTGGGCTGAGGCAGGAGACTGCTGCACATTTGTCAGCCCGGGCTACATAATGAGCAGACCTGAACTGCACAGTGAAACCATCTCAAAAACTGTAAGATGATCACAGCAGAGCAGCCACTGTCCTGACACCCAGCCTCTGTCCCACCCAGGCCACCACGGCAATTATGTCACTGCTTTTGCAGAGGGCCAAGAAAGTCCCCATTCTGGAGCAATGGAGCAGGGGAGGAAGCAGTGCAGGGCTCTGCCCTCCCCTCCATCCCTGTCACTCAGGAGAGGCACTGAGCCTCTGAGCCCCAGGCTCCTCCTCTGTGGACTTCAGGGCAATAATACTGATGACCAAGCTTGTTGTGGTGGTCACACCTGTGATACTGGCATTCTGTTTTCCTTTTTGAGACAGGGTCTCCCTCTGTAGTCCAGGCTGGCTTTGAACTCACTATGTAGTGCAAGCTGGTCTCAAACTTTCAGTGATTCTCCTGCTTCAGCCTCCTGAGTGCTAAGCAGGGGATGACAGGTGCACACCCCCCACCTGGCTCATATGTCGAATTCCTAGTGTCCTCAGTCCCACTGTGGTGAACGTGCTTGCTGGGGAAGGCTTTGCCCTGTTCTGAGCCATCCTGCCCCTGCTGGGGATCTGGCAGGTCTCATTAGCTACCTGGGCTTTGATCCAGATGCGATCCAAGCAGCCAGGGGGCCCCGGATGGATGGCAGCAGGGAGGCTGCTGACGCTGGGCGTTGCCGACTGCTGGCACCTGGAAGGACCTAGATACCTGGCGTTCCTGTCTGATGGCTTCACCGCCATCCTCAGTCATTCTAGTAAGGGCCCTGTGGTTGCAACACAGCGCCCAGGAAACCTCAGGCCTAGGTGCTCTGTCTTGAGCCTCCCTGAGCCTTGATGCTGTGACTAAAAGGGTCAGGCATAGCCACCAGACACTGCCAGCCAAGGAGCACACCTGAGACAGGCTCATTGGCCCACGTCCCCCACTAAACGCAGGCCCAGGCCACTGGTGGTCAGAGGTCTCTGGTATTCAGTGGGAAGAGCTCAGCTCACTTGCTAAGCGGACCCATGTAAAGAGGGGCTGTCACATACCCAAAGGGGACATGTCATTAACCTAGATTTTTCCAGCAATTTCCTGAAGCTCACATTTCCTTTACTTGAAACTCCGGTGTATGTGTGAACCTGGGAATCCATCCCAGAGCCTTTACACTGAGCTACATCCCCAGCCCTTCTTATTTTTTATTTGGAGTCCTTACTAAGTTGCAGAGTTACCCACGGAGCTGGAATTTGTATCCTCCTGCCTCAGCCTCCCAGAACTCTGGGAGGATCGGCTTGCCCCTCCCTGCCCAACTACTCAAATATTTCTGCACTTTTTTTTTTCTCTGTCTTTTCTCAATCATGATATGATCAATTCCACTACTTGAGATTTTGAGTTACTCCTTTGGGGATAATTAGAAAAAAGAAGACCAAGGGTTGGGAAGGGAAAAAGGGAAAAATCCAGAGAATCTGGTGATAAGCAGCGGCAGGGCGGGGGGTGGGATCTCGGTGCCCCGGGTGGTTCCCAGGAGCAGGCGGGCAGGCGTGAGCTGCATCTGCAGCATGCGACAACCTCAACCTCGGGGAGCTCCCTGGATGTTACTTACCTGGATCCCCTTTAATCCTTCCCATCAAAGCTCTTTAAAGCCTTGTAAAACCCAGGCTTACTCTGCTCTGGGGCCAGCTCAGGGTCAGAGGGCAGGAGAGGAAGGCAGAGTAGAGCTTGGAAGGTTTCGGAGGAGCCAGGGAGGCGAGTGCCACACCAACACCCTCGTTTCCTTTGCTGACTCATTTTGTGGTACTGGGGATTGAATGCCCCGGGCCTTCACACTGAACTGCAGCCCCAGTCTCTTTTTAAACTTTTTTTTTTTTTGTCTTTTTCATTTTTATCGGTACCGGGGATCCAACTCACGACTGCCTGCTTGCAAGGCAGTGTTTATGCCGCTGAGCTAAATCCCCAGCCCCCTCTTTTTAAACTTTTGAGCAGGGTCTTGCTAAATAGTGCAGGCTGGGTGCTAACCTGTGGTCCTCCTGCCTCAGCCTTGCAGAGTTCTGAGATTACAGGTATGCAAAGCTGTGCACTTGGCCAGGCTAAAACTCATTTTTACAAACGAGAGGTAGGAATGTCCCAGATGTGCGCTTTCCTGCATTTCTCAAAAGCACTCTGATCCCTTAACCACAGTCTTCTGGCCCCCAGGCCAGGGTGTGCACGTCTGTCTGCCATCCCGTGGCTCCATCCAGACGCTGGTGTCCTGAGCAGATGTCACGTCTGATGGAGGAGGGGCTCTGAAAGGAGATGTGGGTGCTGCACATAGAAAGACACAGAGGGATGTCCCAGCACCGCCTCAGGGGACGAGCTGCCATGGCTTGCCTGAGACAGGGATGGTGGTGGTGTAGGAGCCGCACTCCAATGACCTCCCAGGCCCAGCTACTGGGCCCGTAGACAACCAGGAGCCATCAGAGGACGTGCGGCCCCAGAGTGTTATTAAAGCTATTTTTGGAAAAGAACTGGCTGAGGAATGATAACTGCCTGGAGAGGAGAATGGTGTTGCAATCCCGGGGAGAGAGGTGAGAGGGCTTGAGCTGGGCAGTCACTATGTGGGCGGGAGGCGCCGGCTGAAGTGTCCAGGCAAAGACTGATGAGGGGTTGGGGTGGTGGTGGTGGGGGGGTTGGAGATTTATAGATGGGGTGATCAGGAGAAGGGTGAGGTCATCAAGGGGAGAGGCAGGGAATGCAGAAAAGGTCTGCTGCAGACGAGGGGATTGGTGAGAATTTTCTCTTGTCACAAATGCTAGTGGGGGCAGCCCAGGGTACTGAGACTTCCAGTTGCTGGCACCTGAGAGAGACAGTCTCAAAGGGCAGTGCTGTGATTTGCAGATGGGCTCTGTGGCTTCCCGGTGACCCTCGAAGATCATTGGCCCCTCCAGGTCTCAGCGTCCTCCGCTGTGAAATGCACTGGCCACACTGCAGGGCCACCCAGGGGATGGCGTGAGGGGGTGGAGGATGGTGCCTCAGGCCACAGGCACCAGACTGGCGCTGGGCCTGAATCCGACCTTCACACTGAGCCTATCCCTTCCCTTTTTGTGATTTTTTGGTTTTGTTTTGAGACGGGGTCTTGCTAAGTCACTCAGGCTGCGCTTCAGCTTACAACTCTCCTGACTCAGCTTCCCAGAGCACTGCGGTTATAGGCGAGCTTCCGCCTACATTTATTATTTTTATTTTTTTAATCCTTCATGTATGCATTACATTTACTATTTATTATTTGGTGGTGCTGCGGACTGAACCTGGGGTCAAGCACGTGGCAGGCAATCGCTTTGCCACCTGCTGCAAAAATGAGCCCTAGTTTCCCTTCTGTCTAAAAAGAACTTCGATTTGATTCAAGGTGCCATCCAGAAGGCAGAGCCCTGCCCTGTGAGGCCTGCATGGCAGCACTGCTAAGGGTGAGTGCTGTGTCTTCTGGCGTCTGTCTTCCTCATCTGCAGACCTGCTGACCGCCCCTTGGGTACAGGGATCTCCCAGAAGTCTTGGGGGTGCCCTGGGTGTGGAGCTAGGCCACAGGACCTGCACAGGTAGGCTGCACCGCCTGTCAAAAGTAGGCTGTGCTGAGCCGGTCGTGGTGGCTCACACCTGTAATCCCTGCAACCCTGGAAGGCTGAGGCAGGAGGATCACAAATTCAAGCCCAGCCTGGGCAATTTAGCCACACACTGTGGAGAGGGGAGGGGAGGGGAGGGGAGGGGGGGGAGGAATGGAGAGGAATGGAAAAGAAAAGGAAAGAAGGGATAGGGACCAGGAGCTAAAAGAAAAAAGGAAGAAGGAAAGAAAAGAACACACTGCAGATGCAGGAGTTGAAACCACCAGTGCTCAGGTCGCCTGGGAAGTGGCAGGTGTGGTGACGTCATGGGGCAGAGCCTTGCCCGCAGCCCTTGGGTGACACAGAGCTGGCTCGCTGCAGACACCCAGGGGTCGGGGGCCGAGGGGCCAGGCGATCCTGTATGGCTGTGAATCCCACTGTGGGCCCCCAGCCTGGCAGATACCTTTCGTGGAGACTTTTTTTTGGTCCCCCCACCCAAAGGAGGGCAGTCACAGGGCTAAAAGGAGGAGGGTGTTTTTCTCCTTAACCACCCCTCCCCACAGTATTGCAGCCTGAACCCAGGCCCTTTGCATTGAGCTATAGCCCAGGGCTTAACCTTGTGATTTTCCTGCCTCAGCCTCCCAAGATCACAGGGCGTGTATAAAAATATACACACATTGTTCGATGGAAAGAAACAGAAATTTAGGAAGTTGCTGCTGCTTACCTGATGTCACCCCACTCCCTTCCTTCCAGATGGTTCACATGTCCATCCGGGGAGAGGATGGAGACCCGAGGTCACTTGGGGCAGGTCTGGGTCGGGCCTCTGCCACTGAACTGAATCTCAGAAGGTAATTAATAAGGATGCAGGTGGGGAAAAAGGTCACCGCATTAAGTGGTATTCAACTTTGGGATTCCTCCTGGAGCCTGCATCACCCCGTCCAACCCAAACAGCCATAAAAACCAGATTAATTGTTTAGAAGGGCAAAAGGCCAAGTGAGCTGAAATAGCAGGTTCTCCATTTATGAAGTCAACAAAACCATCTTTGTGTGCGCTTCCTGGAGCACCGCGTTCACCGCAGTGACTCTGTGCGTGACCCCGCTGCAGGGGCCCCGGATGGGCTGGGCACAGGGCGCCCCTCATGCACGTGCTCAGCTTGCAATCGCACAGGCCTGCTAGGTCCAAAACTGCCAGTCGCTTAGGCAATATAGAATCACACACAGTTAACCTCCTGCAGTACAGACACTCCATGGACTGTGCTACAGCCACTTTCCATACAGACATGCATATACATATATACTTTTTTTTTGGTGTTTCAGACAGTGGCTCACTACACAGCCCAGGCTGGCTTTGAACTTGCAGCGACCCTCCTGCCTCAGCCTCCTCATCTCCTCGAAGTGATGGGTCTTTCTGTGCAAAGGCTGGGTGGATTTAACACTGCTCTTTTCTTCTAGGTGGCTCTCTCAGGTAACAAAGGCACCTTACCAATGAGCTCACTGCCTCTGGTTGCCAGATGCCAGGAGGCAGGTCCTGGAGCTGCCCTCCTCCACTCTGGCTTTAGAAGTGTCTGCAGCTGGCTGTGGTGGTGCATTCCTAGAATCCCAGTCCTTGGGAGGCTGAGGCAGGAGGATTGCTACTTTCAGAGTGAGATCTGTTTCAAAAACAACAAAAAACCAAAGTCAACACCAAAATCACAATGAATGCAGCTGAGCATGGTGCAGTTTGTCTGTGATTTCAGCATTCACGAGGCTGAGGCAGAAGGCTTGCCACAAATTCAAGGCCAGCCTGAATTACCCAGTGAGACCCTGTCTCAAAACACCAAAACCGAAATCCAAATAAATACAGCAAATAAAAATTTCTGGATTTACATAATTTATTGTTTTAACTTTTTCAAAGAACATACATCACTTAAAAAAATAAATGCAAAGTTTGCTCATTTTGTAATACACATATTTACAAGCTTGTTCCATCTCTACATGCGGTAAAATTATATTTTCCACAATTCCACATTACTGTCACTTGCAAAATATTTTTCCAACAAAGTCTCCATTTTCGTTGGTCCACTATCTTCTTCCTTTCCTGGATCTTGGGTTCTTTTTGGCTTCATTGTATTTCTTTTTAAAAAGCTTTTTTTCAATTAGGCTCACTTCGTCGTGGAGGAGGGCAGCCTTTACTCGCAGCAGGAAGGCGAAGAGGTTTAGTAGAAACTGATAGCTCAGGGAGAAATTGGACTCTTCGTAGGTGGTCACGTGTTTGCAGTAGCTGGGAGAGAAGGGCAGGGAGTGGGTTACCTTCCTGCCGTAACTCAGAAATGTGCTGGGCGTGGTGTGGAGGGCACATCTGTGGTCCTAGCACTCGGGAGGCCAAGGCGGGAGGATCACTGCTAGTTCAAGGCCAGTATGGGTCACATGGAGAGACCCTAACTCAAACCCAAACCCACCACAGATCGAAACGACTGCCCTCGACTATAGCCCTGAGCTCTGAAGCATCACCTACCTTCTGCAGAATTTCTGGGTGCTCAGCCAGTATAAGGAGTTCTTGGTCACCAGTGCCTGGCCTTTTTTTAGCAGGACACCCCCAAGACTGTGGCTGTGGAAACAGGGCCGGCCGGGGTCGCCTTCGGCCCAGCTGAGCTGGAAACTCGCAGCGCTTTTCTTCGTCACGGTTGGGGCTGGATCCAGCAGGGTGCTGAACTGCTTCTGCAGATTAACCACCACTTCTGGAGATGCAAGGAAAAGGGAGGTGTGACGCACGCACACAAGCAGTGCCACGTTACACGCCAGTCTGGTGCGCCGGCTTCCTGGTTCTGAGAGAACATTTCACAGCAGAGAATGAGGGTGGCACTGGGCAAGACAGAAACTGGATAAAGGGCAAAGAACCACGTAAGAAAACACCATTACAAATGGCAAATTTGAGGTATAGTTTATCCAGATTTAAAGAGAGCTGAGAATGGTATGCATGTCTGTCATGCCAGCACTCTGAGAGGCTGAGGCAGGAGGATCACAGGTTTGAGACCACCTTGGGCAACTTCATAAGATCGTGTCTCGAAATAAAATAATCTTTAAGAAAAGGCTCATAGTGAAAGCCCTGAACTTGACCTCCAGAACTGAAAAAAAGTGCAATCTGGAGTGAGAGTCTCGCAACAGTTCACATAGCCCGAGGTCTGGCATCTTAGATTGTGCTGCTGTGAACTATGCAGTGGCTAAGGGCACAGAGCCTGAGAACTCTCGCAGCGGCCGAGGTTCTCTGGGGAACTCTCCATCTCGGACGTTTCCAGGAAGCATGCACTTGCCCTGGGCCCTCAAGTGTCAAGCCATCTTCGTGGCAGCTCCACAGCATCCCCACCACCCGGTTATCTGGAAGCCCGACTCACCCCTCCTCTTGTAGGCCACAGGCTTGTCAATGTGGGAGTGGTAGAGTGGCTTTTCGCTCTTCCACATGTACCTGTGCAAGGCAGAGGACAGCTGGGGTGGGAGGCTAGGAGCTCCTGGCACACTCAACACAGTGCCAGAGGCGGGGTCCAGCCCCGGCACAGTGGACGGTGCGAGTGTGCTGATCATACAGAACTGAGTAAAGGGCGGCGGGGCGTGCTGGTGCCCCCACCCCAGTGTTCAGGAAGCTGAGGCAGGAGGAGCTCCCTCCACAGCACCTCCCTGTGGCTTCTGCTCAAAGTGAAGTAGCTAGAGTGACAGCTGTCCTTTGCTGCCTCTGCCCTCACCGAGGGCCAAGTCCTGGCACCTCCGGTTGGGTTCCTGCTGGACACGGCTGGCTGGGGACAGTTGCTGGCATGGGGAGGGTGGGATGGGACACTGGACTAACCGGGCCTGCAGGGTCCCCTACAGGGCAGAGACTAAGAGTTGCTGCAATCCTTCGGGTTGCCGGTGAGCAGCCCTGCAGGCCTGAAGGGAGACACACAGACCACAGTGTCCTGGCCTAGTGCCACTGCAGGCTGCCTCCTGGATGCTGTGGTCTGCAAATATGGTGACAATGATGGTGTTCTTTTTTTAAGGAGGAAGAAGATTTTTTGAGATGGTCTTGGTGTGTTGCTCAGGCTGGCCCTGAATTCACTATGTAGCCCAAGCTGACCTCAAACTCACAGGAATTCTCCTGCCTCAGCCTCCCAAGTGCAGTGCCCATGTCTGGCCATAGAGCTGACCTGTATCTCATTCCCACGCCTTCTGAGCTCCACAGGTGTCTCAGAACCTGTGGGCACAACTACAGCTGCCTTTGTGCCCCCAGGGCCCCTTTTGATTTTGAGATGCTGTGACGACAGGAAAGAGTGCTGAGTTGGAGAACCCGGCCCTGCCACTTCCCAGGGAAAGCTGAGTGCCAAACAAAGGTTTGAGAAGGCAGAGGCAGGCCGGTCTCCTCTGGGCCCCCATGTGGGCAGGGAGTGGCAGCTTGCAGAGACTCATGTCAGTGTGTGGTCACAAGTGGATGAAGATACAACCAGGTGAGTCTGACCTCTCTAGCCCTGCAGAGCTGCACGAGGAATAATAATAACAGTAATATAATTACTAATATTATTCCCTACAGCCTAGATAACCATTGAACAAACGAACCTATCTGTGGATTTTCCAGAAAAGCTGACAGGGAATCGGAAGTCAAAAATATTTACCTCTGGTAACCTACAATGAATAGCAGTAATAGTAGTGCTCCTTTTTAATGCTTGGAAAGAAAATATGCGTAATAGTAGACATTTAGTAATCTTATGATGGCCAGTGACTGCTGTAGTCAATTTAGAATTGGGATTTTTCTTAAGGATTTGAAAAATAATCAAGTCAGTATCATCAGGACTATGAGAGACAGAGAAAGATGGAGGGAGAGAAAGGTCCCCCCACGAGACAAGGTCTGGCTATGCAGTTCAGGCTGGCCTCGGACTCACTATGTGGCCCAGGTCCTCCTGCCTCAGCCTCCTGAGTGCTGGGAGTCCATTTGGTCTCCACGCCCTGACCTTGTGCACCCACACATGCTTCTCTGTCCCTGCAAGTGACTGGAAGGGAAGTAGAGCCACACTGAGGGGTGCCCTCAGTCTCTGCTTGGCTCTCAGGGGCTGCCCCATACTCGGGCTATCTCGTGGCCCTTGGGAGCTGCTGTGGCTCCAGCAGGGGTGAACAAGGCCATACTCAGTGGCCCAATGATCTTTTGTGGACGAGAGCTCCCCATGCTTGGGTGAGCAGTGCAGAGTGGATGGCCCTCGTATGACCTTGATGTGCGCATGACTTTGGGGGACAGGGCTATGCTTCCTGCATGGCTGCACTGTTCTGTATCCGCAGGTGGAATGCCTGGGCTTTGGGCTCGTTTCACCACTCATGGAACACACTGCACTGTGAGTTTTCCCCTTGCAGGTTAGGCTGGCCTGGAATTGGTGGGCTATCGCTCTACCTCGTCCAGCCTATGTGGTGCCCTGGGTTCTAGATCCAGCACCCACAGGGAAAAGCTCACCTGAGGGTGAACTTGTCTGAGACTAAAAGTCCCAGCACTGATGAGTCTGTGCTGATGGAACTTCTGCTCTGGGAGGCTGAGGCAGGAAGGTCACCAGTTCAAGCCCTGCCCGGGCAGCTTAGTGAGACCTTGTCTCAGAAATAAAAAACAAGAGGGGCTGGGGGTGCAGCTCAGGGGTGGGTGCCCTGGTGGTCCCTAACATCTCTGAAGCAGCGACAACGTACTTGGCGCGTGCGTCCTCCCACTTCCGCCTCTGCTCCTCCAGTGTCCTCTTCATGACGTGGTACCACTTCCTGAAACTGAACCATGGCTTCCCTGCAAGAAACAGGCCACGAAGACATGGGGGAACCGAACTGTGCAACAGTGAGACAGTGAGACAGGGCTTCTGGGACCTTGGTCCAGGCGGAGTGGAACATTTCCACAATGGCACCTGGGGTCGTCACCTCCCCCATCTGCCTCTCCAGACAACAACAATGACAGGGTCTGCTGCCGCAGTGCCACTGGGCCGCCACCTTTCCCCAAACCCAGCGCCACATGCCAGCCCACGCAGACCGAGGGATAGTGAGTGACACGCATGTGAAGCCGGCTTAGCTGGCACTGGGTGTTCGGACCCTGTCCCGCCCTGCCAGGCTCCCCCATAGCTGTGCGGAGCTCGGGAAGGCAGCATGACAGGGCCTGCAGGGACCAAGGGGACGGTTCCCCAATGAAGACGTCTCTTTTGACTCTGCACAGAGGTGTCACCTGCACCATCTGGCCTGGGGGCCCATTCAGTGCCCAGGTGTGACCTCTCAGCAGCCGGGAATGTCAGAGGGTGGCAGACGACAGTGCAGGGACCACGGCCCAGCCTGCGGGGGGCACAGCATCCCAAGGTCTAAAGGGAGAGGTCAAGTATCAGTCCGCTCGGCCTGTGATCGGGCCTTGGGGAAGCAGCCAAAACTGCTGTGGGCCCCAATACACCTGGATGCTCAGAGCAGCGGTCAGAGGCCAATCATTGCCTCGCACAGGCTCTGGGAAGACAAAGCGACCGCTCCTCAGCCTCCTGCGCTAATTAGAACAGGAGGACAGTGGGTCTGAGTTTAAGAACTCAAGTATCAACCAGGTGTGGTGGTGCATACCCATCATCCCAGCACTGGGAAGGCTGAGGCAGGAGGATCGCTACTATTCACCACTTCACTGAGAAGAAAAGGCAGAGGGACCAGCATGAGCCAAGACTGAGGCTCAGGACATCATGGTGGCCTTGGCCAGCGGGCAGAACGGGCACTCGGAGTGGCCACGCACTCTGCACGGCAGGAGCCGCTGGTAGTCTGGCAGCTGCCACCTGGTAGGGGGTAAGCTGAAATGTATCCTTGGACAGGTGTGGCATGTGCATGCAGACGTGTGCCTGTGTGTGGATGTATTATTCCAGTTCCCGCCCTGTGTTTACTGCATCTTTGATACATCATTTATGATCACTCTGAGTTTGACACACAGAAAAGTCAGTACCTGTTTTGTTCTTTTCATTGTTGACTTCAGCGAGATCAGACAAAGACCTAGGGAGAACAATAATCGAACTGATTTATTTAGAAATCACACATGTGATGGTACATTTTGTTTTTTTATTTATCTATTTTTTTGAGACAGAGTCTCCATTTGTGGTCTAGGCTGGCCTTGAACCTGTGGCCACGCTCCTGCCTCCGCCTCTGGAGTGCTGGATTACAGGTGTGCACCACCTGGTACAGCTAAGAGTTACATTTGGAATTCTTTGGATAGAAAAGTATCAAATAGTATTTGAAACATTGAATTTTCCTGGAGAAACAATCACTGAGGCTAGGAGGAAACACTAGGAAAACCACTCTGGCCAGCCACCCCTGTCCTCCCAGCACTAGGGAGGCTGAGGCAGGAGGACTGCTGTGAGCTGGGGGTCACTCTGGGTTACACGGTGAGTTCAAGGCTGGCCTGAATGGCACAGTGAGATCCTGCCTCAAAACAAACAAAAAGCAGACGTGTGCTCAGAACGGATCAAGTGTCACTTGCCATCCAATGGAAATACTCTCACCACTCTACGCTGTCGTCCAGTAGGAAGAGCAGCTTTAAGACCACCACGATGAGAGCCACAGCCAGCACGTCATACTTCACAGTTGTGGCAGCTTTCGCGATGGGGTCAAAGGTCAGGGAGTCCACCTCTCCCCAGCCGGTCATCTCTGTCACCTGGCGGATTAATGCGTGCATTTCATCTGTTGAAGAGCAAAATGGTCAAATGTGAAGTGCTTTTTTTCCTTCGGAATTAAATTCTTTGGCAAACTACAGCACAGCTACATGTGTACCCACAAGATGTGAGGCCACACGAGAGAGACAGGAGAGATACACACACGAAGGGCACACACCTGAAACCCCAGCTGCTCAGAAGGCTGAGGCAGGACAACCCCAAATTCAAGGCCAGCCTGGGCAACCCAGTGAGAGTGTCTCAAAAATTTAAAGTGGGGCATGGGGGATATAGCTCTGCAAGCCTTGGGTACAATCTTTAGTTCTGGGAAATAAGACATGATGCTCTGCTAAGGCCGTAGAACCTGAAGAAATGTAAAGGCCAAGTCTCACCAAGGCCGCCATCACTGTCTGCAGTGGCCCCTGGTTCGAAATAGCCACTTTTTTTTCTTTTGAGACAGGGTTTCACTATCTTACTATGGAGCCCAGGCTGGCCTGGAACTAGCAGTGATCCTCCTGCCTCAGCCTCCTGAGTGCTGGGATTACAGGCATGCACTACCACACCTGGCTGCAATAGCCACTTTCATGTTTCAGGATATTTACTTCTAATTTCATGTAATTATAGTCATGTTGTTGTTGTTGTTCTTGGTACTAGGAATTGAACGTAGGACCTTGCGCTCGCAGGCAGGCATTGTACCGCTGGGCTATATCCCTGGCTCAGTCATGTCATTTTGTAATCTGGCTTGTTTCACTTTTTTTCATAACACAAGTTTTCAATCCTTTTATTAACTTCATAAACAGTATCTTAAGAGCTACACAGTATAGGTGGGCATGGTGGTTCACAACTATAATCCTATCACTGTGGGAAGCTGAGGCAGGATTGTAAATTTGAGGCCATCATGGGCAAATCAACGAGCCCTTAACTCAAAATAAAAAAATAAACTGGGCATGGTGGCACATGTTTGTGATTCTAGCACTCGGGAGGCTGAGGCAGGAGGATCACCTTGAGTTTGAGGGCTGGTTGAGCTACACAGCAAGACTCTGCTTAAAAAAAGAAAAAAAAAACCAACAAAAAATAAAAGAAGGAAAAAAGAAGACAGAAGTAAATAAAGCAAATACAGAAAAATAAAAAGGGCCTGGGGATGTGGCTCATTGTGAGGCCCTGGATTCAATCCTCAGTCTCCCCCTCCCCCACAGAGATAAATAAAAAACAATGCAGGGCAGTAATTCTAATCTATCACCCCATGAAAATACAGAAAAAGGTCTCCCAAATTCTGAAATCTTTTTTTTTTTCCTCCCACAAGTCCAACTGCATAATTCTGAAATTTTTTTTTTTCGTCTTTTTCCTTTTTATCGGTACCGGGGATTGAACTCACAACTGCCTGCTTGCAAGGCAGGCTCTTATGCCACTAAGCTAAATCCCCAGCCCCAATTCTGAAATCTTGATTCAGTAGTGGCTTCAGAAATCTCAGCACGGATATACACTCCTAAGCTTTATAAAGTATACATTTAAAACTTTCACTTATTTTTGTTACTGTTTGTAAAAACCTTCTGCTCATATTTGTACATATATCGCCACATTTGCTCTTTACTTTTATAGTTATTGTATACTTTTGCATATTACTTTTTCACATCTGTATTCCTACTTAAAATATATTCAAGGGAAGCATGGAGGTATAGGCTTGGAGTCCCAGCTACTGCAGACGCTGAGGCAGGAGGATCGCTTGGGCCCAAGAGTTCCTGTGTAGCATACCAAGCCCCTGCCTCACAAAATAATAATGAAAAATACGATAAGCTACATTTTTGATGCCGCTTCAGTCGCGATGTCATCACAGCATGTTTGTATTTTCCCTTAAGAATAAGACTCCGCCAGTCTCACATTTCCAGTCTAGCAAGAAACTCGGGCAGATGCCAGCAGCATGACTGTCCTGCCACACCGGGGTGGGCAGAGGGATGGGCGGAGTGAGGCTTCCCCACAGCCTGGCTCGCTGAGGGCGCACCAGGAAGGGAGGAGGCTTCCATCTCTTTTCCTCTGGGGACTGCAAGTGGCAGGGTCTCAAGGGCCAAGAGCCGGAGGGTCACTTCTGGGATTCACTCAAACCAGGATTGGTCACACAGTCGCCATACTTCACACACTGCTACTCTTTACCAAGCTAGGTGTTAGCAACACTGCGATGCTGCTGCTCTGCGCACGCTCTGCAAATGTGCTGAAAAAAACCAACCTTCCCTCAAGCAGAAATCTCCTATGCCAAGGTAGAACTCTATTCCTCAGCAATGTCCCTGGAAGTGTTTCTCCCTATGTAGCCCAGGCTGGCCTTGAACTCATGGAGATCCTCCTGCCCCCGCCTCCTGGGTGCTGGGATGGCAGGTGCGTGCCAGTATACCTGGCATTTGGGCACTGTAATGGCCTCAATTTTTTTTTTCCTTTTGGTTTTTTTTTTTTTTTTTTTGTCTTTTTCCTTTTTATTGGTACCGGGGATCAAACTCACGACTACCTGCTTGCAAGGCAGGCGCTTATGCCGCTGAGCTAAATCCCCAGCCCCCTTTTGGTCTTTTTGAGACAGGGTCTCACTATGCAGTTCAGGCTGGCCTTGAGCTCACTTTGTAACTCAGGCTGGTCTTGAACTCGCAATGATCCCTTTGCCTCAGCCTCCAGAGTGCTGGGATTACAGGTGTGAGCCACCACACCCCGAAATGGCCTCAATTTTGAAAGGCCTGAATCCTTTTCAGAAAGGATTTTGAAATGGGGAAAAAAAATAAGAAAAGAGAAAGGCAGCTTCATGGTGTATGCAGCGTTTCTGGGGGCGCTGGCGGCCTGGAACAGGGAAAAGCTCCTGTACCCTGCTGCCCTGCACCAAGCCGCCTGCACACTCACCAGGGAGGTTGGCTTCCATCAGGTATTTCACACACAGGATGTTGGGGTGCAGGAAGCAGTCCTTAGTGATGTCCGGAAAACGGGGCAAATCTAAGAACGTGGCGATTTCAACAGTGTGTTTATAGATTTCCTCATAGTCCGGCCAAGACTGAAATCAAAAGAGGAGAATGGAGTAGTTTTGATTTTAACATCATATGTTACTGAATAATCTTTGGAATGTGGAGGAATATGGAGAAGGAAATACCCATAAATCTTTACTATGCTAACTCAGCAATATTTTTCTTTTTTTAGGAGGCAGGATCTCACTATGTAGCCTAAGTCAGCTTTGAGCTTGGAGTGATCTTCCTGCCTCAGCCTCCTGAGTGCTGGGATTACAGGCTGCACCACCACACCTGGCTTGATTTGTTGATTTTAAAAAGCTATAATACTAAATCAAAAAAAGGCACTAAAATTGCTTGTCTCTGAAAGTCCTGCTGGCTATAGCCATGATGAGGATGAAAGCGTCATTCTTGCTCTAAGAAGCCAGATGAGGAATTGAGCTGAGACCTGAGAGTCACAGTGACGTCTACATGGCTGACTCACCCCCTCCTCCTGCACCTTTCTGCAATCTTCAAACACATGCTCACAAGCGCAGCCCTCTGGGATGGAACATTTGCGTGCTTCTACATGAGATTAGATTGCACTCCACGTCTAGTAGCTGAAAATCCATACCCAATTTCCCACAAAACTCCTTCACAGGAGATTCTCATGTAAGTTCAGAAAAATCTGTTTTTTTTCTCATAAATATTAATAAATTCTGTCCAGTACCTTAAGCCTGCCTCTGCTGTGTTTTGCCCACGTGACTTCTATTTCTGCAACTTCTGAACATTCCTCATGTCTGTGCTGTGTGTAATCAGCTGCTTTGCCCACCCACTGGCATGAAATGATTAAGTGGAAGGTCCGCTCCACCCAGGCACTCTGGGAAGTGGGGGGAGACCAAGATGAATGACACAGAACCCTCGAGGAGCTCACGGTCCAGAGGGAGGTGAGTGTGCAAAACAGCTGGTGTGTGACAGAGGACACTGTCAGGAGCCATGAGTGAAGTACAAGGCTGGCCCTTGGGCTCTCAGGAGAGCTGTCACGGGAGGACCTGTCAGCGCCTGATCCTGACCACAGTGCTCTGCGAATCTGTTGTAGGATGTAAGTCCTCCTAGCGCTGCTCGTAAGAGCCCCCTGCAGGAAGCTTCCAAAATGTGCAGCAAGGACAGGAGAGATACACACAGGCTGACACACAAGATGTGACTGCAAAATAAACAGAACTGTGTGTTTAAATTTAAAAAAGGTATTGCAGTAAGACACATCACCAGGATTCCCCTCAAACTCCTCCTCTGTTCCAATATACTCATCCCATCATCCTTGCTGTTTCCTGCAGCAACCCTAGAGTCCTCTTTCCTGAGGGTCTCTAGCTGTGCTGTCCTGGATAGATTCAAAACACCCCCCTTTCCCAGTCATTGTGACTTTGGGGAACAGCTAGAAGTTGCACAGTGCCAGATTCAGTGACTGAGGTGGATGAGAAGATAATGTCTTGTTTTTCCGAGCTGCCTTCTGTTGGACGGCACTGAGCAGCATCATTCACTGCAGGTTTGATCCCACCTGGTAGAGACCCTCAGGAAAGAGGACTCCAGAGCTGCTTCGGAAAGTGGCGAGGACAATGGGACGAGTGTGTGCAAAGTAAGGGGAGGATGCTGATGGGGATTCATGGCAGTGTTTTTCACTGTAACACATTCATGAAGAAGCTTGTAAACACTCATCATACTTGGGATCACAAACAGTGTGAATTCTCAAAACAGTGTTCCAAGCCCAATGTGAAAAAAAAAATACCTCCACTTGGATAAAGTAGGAAGCTCGCAGCCTGGCCCTGCTCTTGTCCTGTCAGAAGTCAGGACTGGGCCACCCTAGGGTGAGGCAGCATAGGGCACAACAGCTGCCCAGCGGGAGGCACCACAGTGTTTCTGGGTCCTGAACCTTCACCACACTGTGTACCTTTATGAGATGAAGATTTCCCCAGATATCTGTTTTACCTCAATAAAAAGCCTATAATCCCAGCAGTCTGGGAGGCTGAGGCAGGAGGATCACTAGGTTGAATTCAGCCTAGATAATTTAGCAACTTAGTGAAAAGCCAGGTATGGTGGTGCACGCCTGTAACCCCAGCACTTGGGCTGAGGCAGGAAGATGGCTTTGAGTTTGAGACCAGCTTGGGTCACAAAGAGAGTGAGCCGAAGGCCAGCCTGAATTGCACAGCAAGGTGGCAAGTCCCTGTCTCAAAAGGACAAAAAAAAAAAAAAAAAAGCAACTCAGTGAGACATTGTCTCAAAATGAAAACTTTTTTTTTTTGGTGAGGGGACTTGCTGGGAACGTAGCTTACTGCAAAGGCCCTGAGTTTGATCCCCAGTACCAACCCCTCTCCAAGAAAAAGTAAAAGTTAAAAGGGAGAGGAGTGAGGGAAGAAAGGAAAGACAACACCAGATAAGTACAAAGGCGCTGCTTTGATGTCACCTTTAGCAAAGAAATAACCTAGTTGGGAAATAGAGTTGGAAAGACTTTGAGAAATAGGCAAGTGCTGTAGTCAGGGCTTACAAGGGAGAAGACTTAATATAGGACACATAATTTGTAGTATTATTTTATGATATTCACCAGAGTCAAATGCAGCAGAGGGCAAGTGATCTGTCCACACGCTAGAGATCCAAAGAATCCAGCTGCGGGCCTGGATCCTACAGCAATGGCCCCCACGAGTCCAGAGGAAGACCTGGAGCCCACGACATGTCTCCTGCAAGTCTGTTCACCGGTCTGCCCTGGCGAAGGTTCCGGGGTCAGTGGCGGAAGCTTAGAAAGTCTGCACCAGTGGGATGAAGGATCTGTGCCAGCAGGCTGAGAGGTCTGCACTGGAGCCAGGAAACGACACTCGAGGTAAGGACCAGAGCTCCCCAGAAAAGAACCATAGCTGTCCTCAGGGACAAGGACCTGAGCTCCTTTGATGATAGAACAGCAGAGTTCCTATCAGGAAAGCCAGCCAGACAAGCTTCTCCAGAAGAATCAGTAACACCACCTTTCCTTCCAGTTCTCTGTCTGCTGTTGGCAGCCATCCTCAGGAGGCCCTCCACACCCGGCACCACACTGCCTCAGGGCAGCTGATGATAAGTCAACCCACCACAGGATGTAAATTGACAAAACCTGACAGGACCACTGGCCCTTAAAAATCTCCATGACAACCCAACTCACCCAAGCAGCCTCATCTGTCTTGTGTGGAGGGCCGAACCCAGTGTCTGCCTGTGGTAAACATGCTCTCTGCGGAGCTCTCTCCCCAGTACTAGGCAGTCCCTTTTAATGAATCTAATCATTGGTTTAAGGAAAAACCCACTGTGTTTCACTCAAAATAAGACCTGGCCAGCAAAAAACAGCCTTAAAAACTAGAGATCAAAAATGCCAGGCCCTGTTGGGTGTCAGTGACTCTTGCTTGGAATCCTAGCACTCCGCAGGCTGAGACAAGAGGATCGCTGGAAATTTGAGGAGTTCAAGGCCTCCTTTGTGCATAGACCCTGAGTGGGACTGCTGAGCAAATGGCATTTCTGCTTCTGATTTCTTTTCTACCTGTTTTCCATGTGGCCACAGCTCAGTCTTGGATACTATCCACCGTCCACTCCTACCTCTGCCCCCAGACCTGGGCTGCCACCCTCGTGTGCAACACTGGATCACTTAGGCCACGATGCAATTGGGAGCCAGAGCGAGGCTTCCACTGTGAATCTGCTGACGGGCCACCCGCAGAGACCCTAGAGCGGCTCTGGCTTTCTCTGGGGTGACTGTGCTGCCAAGCAGCAGAACACTTCCTGGGGTCTTTAAGGCACAGGCGCCCGACCTGGGAAAGGCTGCAGCAGGCTGATGGAGGCGAGGCGGGGCACTCGAACCCAGCACAGATACACCTGCATCCGGGTGAGATAGGGATGCCTCTTCTTCCATCCGCTCAGCTTCTGGGCAGGTGAATGCGCCCTCCCTCCTCCAGGTTCACAGGGGCGTGACTGCTCTGAGGCAGTGAATGAGTCACCAGCACCAAGCCACTCAGTGGGTTTGGCCAAACCAGCATGACATCTTTTCTTCTCGGTCATTCAGAGAGAAGATTCAGAGTTGTTGATCAACATTTGGAAGGGTGTGGAGGTGCTGTTCCCATCACTTCTCCCTGAGGATGAGGAAGTGACCCCGTCCCAGGATAGGGGGTGGATTCCAGAGCCTTCCCATGGCATCCCTCTCCAGCACTGGTTCACTTTTTATTTTGAGACAGGGTCTTACTAACTTGCTAAGTTGCCCAGGCTGGGTTCTAACAAGTGACCCTCCTGCCTCAGCCACCCGGAGTGCCAGGATTACAGGCATGTACACCATGCCCAGCATAAAAGGACTAACTCTTGAGAGGATTTAGAAACATGGCCAAGGACTGTGGCTGCATAATGCATATGCTGCATGGTATCTATTTAGAAATTTGTCTGAAGGTGTGAAATATACAAAATAGGGCCGGGGATATAGCTCAAAGGCATGGTACCTGCCCGGCAAGTGTGAGGTCCTGAGTTCGATTCCTAGTGTATTAAAAAGAAAACCCGAAATATATAAAATAAAGTCACGGCCAAAAACCAGAGCAAGCCTCATGTCTCTGAGTCCCTGGCAGAACAAACTGTCCAGAGTGCGGACAAATACGTGCAGGCCCAGACCCTGCCTCCTTAGGGCTCTGGCTGCCTGGTAGACAAAGTGTCCCTGAAGACCCCAGATTTTCTGCTTATTCAGCCAGACAAACCGACAGTTTCTAGTGGAGGTAAACAGAGCTTCAGCCTTGTCTTCTGTGCTAATGGGTGAAACCGATGCAGCAGAAGAGGTAGAGACAGCAGGAGGAGGAGGAGCAGGAGAGGCCTTGTGCTGGGCTGGGAACTGGGCTTCGGCAGAGGGATGATGCAGATGCCCAGCTCAGCAGCTCCAGGCCCTGCCTGTGACTCTATCCCAGGTCAGGGCAGAGGGGGGCGGAATGAAACTCCCAGGCGGGTGGTGTGGAAAGCAAAACAAGGCGCTCTACGCCTCTGCTTCCGCCACCACTGCCCCAGCTCAGGAGCACAGTCAGGTCCGCAGCTGCCG